AAAAATATTCCCATATGCTCCGTGACAAGGAAAACATTTCATGGTGTGCATTCTTTCCTTCAAGGCACGCCACCTTGTCAGAGTCATGCACCAGGTGTCCAGTGGACCGGAACAGCGACTGTGGAGGCCATAGTTTCGTGCGTAATTGTTTTTATCTGCACCTGTCATAGCAAGCGAAGCAGCCACAACGCATGTATCCCGGGCTGTTAGGTTTAAGATATCAGTCCTTCAAACACAGGAGTCCATCAGTGGGTCCACAACACTTTATTTGTGACGTAACAGTTACAGCATGTGCATAATCACGATTGTGGTGATGGGACAGACATGGCCAGGCAGCATATCAGAGGCGTCAGAGAGCCAACCTGCCTAGCCGCTGTCCGAGGGTCAAGTCCCGACTAACAGAAAGTATTCTAATTTTATCTCGTTAACTCACTGACCAGCTGCCACGTATCGAATACGATACCTCTCTGGTCAGCCTGCAGTATCCCGCACCTCATCCACAATGTCAAGCTTCAGTGACCAACCGGCCATTCTCTGGCACTAATTAGGAGCCACTGACCTGCACATGACTCTGTGCTGTTGGCCATAGTAAAAATAGCCCAGCTGGTGTTATAATTTGATTTGGGCAACGATGTGAATATTTATCTATATATATATTTAACTTATTTAACTCAGGGAATATATAAGACGTATATATATTCCCTGATAAAACCTATACTCTGCCAAACTGCCTACGATACATGCAGTCTATTTTGGTCACCACTGCATGGCCCTCGGGCTCTACGCTTGGCCTCATAAATCTGTCACATATTTTCGCGTGAACCAATCCAGTAAAGGATCTATATGGATAATATACGGCCATTTGTAGTGTGCCAGTTTTCTCAGAGAACAACGTCATTGGCCGCTTTCACAAGTAACTGGACTTACACCAGTCTCTAAGGCAATAAGTATGAGTTCATATATACTCACTGCCAAATGAAACGCAAACAAAAGAAACATACAGAGAAGTATGTACGTTAAATGTTTCAAATATGTACCACTTCATGACATAACTATCAGTCAAGTGTTACCACAGAGTGCCTTTATTCTTATCACGATACGATGCACGTGATTTCCTAACGTTACACACTAATCCTGCACGAGACAAATGGTGCATGGATCTATGTCGTCACATGTGATGCGTTCATGAGCATCGGTTCACACAGCATAACAGGATGTTCGTTTGTGCATCGAACGGATCTAATATCTCTTGATTTGGTTGGTTTGTTGTTTAACGCCGCACTCAGCAATGTTTCAGCTATATGACGGCGGTCTGTAAATAATCGAGTCTGGACCAGACAATCCAGTGATTGATATCATGAGCATCGATCCACGCAATTGAGATCGATGACATGCATCAACCAAGTCAGCGAGTCTGACCACCCGATCCCGTTAGTCGCCTTTTACAAGCATAGTCGCCTTTTACGGCAGGAATGGGTTGCTGAAGACCTATTCTACCCCGGATCTCCACGGGTCTAATATCTCTTGAATATGAGTAATTCTTCATATATAAACTAACATGTATAGTATTCGTGTTTCTTTTGTCGGTGAATATATACGTAATAAGAACATGTTGTCCCTGTAAGAAACTGGCGAGTACTGTCCGCTTATCTAGACGTGTCTATTACATATAAAGATAGAATTACTATAAACCCATGGACTTATCGTTCAGTACAGCCTTGGAACAAGGTTAACAAGTAACATACTTGGTAACTTGATGCGAGCATAAATGGAACTCGCGCCCCACGTGTGTATATTGTAGTGACCCGTAAAGATCCGGGGTAGAATAGATCTTCAGCAACCCATGCTTGCCGTAAGATGCGACTAACGGGTTCGGGTGATGATCAAGCTCGCTGACTTGGTTGATGCATGTCATCGTACCCCAATTGCGTGGATCGATGCTCATGATGTCAATCACTGGATTGTCTGGTCCTGACTCGATTATTTACAGGCCGTCGTCTTATAGCTGGAATATTGCTGAATGCGGCGTTGAACAACAAACAAACAAAAGATAATCTTAACTGATTGACGTCATCCTCGGTGGACCCCGGGGTGCGGCACTCTGGTCAGCAGCGTACTAGTGACATCATCGTAAAAGCTATAATTAATTTCATATATTGAATCAATCATAAATAAAAGCATTTTGATTAATATTGATAGGTATTGATAGTATATATTAACTCTGATATTCGTTAGGCAAATGTAACTTTCGACTATTGATATAAATACTTCAGAATCAATAATGCAACGTTGATGATTTTGCATGTCGTTTTTTTTATATTCTTCGCGTTACTTTGAATTTACACGTAGATACTGTTCTCTAAGACTTTTATGAACTGGACAGGGGCACGGGAGGCCCTGTCGTCTAGTCTAAGGCGCCGCGAATCGCGAAACCGATGATTGTGGGTTGGAATCCCGGTTCGTCCCGATTATGTTTCTAGGTTTGTCAGCACCATACCCGTGCTCGTGGGTTTCACCGAAGTGGTAAACGTCGGAGACCTGCATCACTTCGGGCTTTCCTCCCACATTAAGCTGACACTCCGTGATATATCTGGAATACTGTTAAAAGCGGGATTAAAACCCAACTCACATCACTGCATTACGTAGAAAAGGTTCACTTGTTAGGGACCGACCTGGGGGTGGCCTGGGATTTTTTATCGAGATTAGATATTTTGTTTAGCTGCAGCTAAAAAAACAGATATTTCATATTTAAAACCAAGACCCTCTATATTTTTTAGGTTAAACGCCTCACAACAATGTAACTTTTGAGACAGGCAATTTAAAAAAAAAATCGGGATTTTCTATTTCCTTCCCTGTCCCAATTTATCCTTGGTTGACAATGGTTACCTCAGGTTGAATCATTTCAACCTTGGTTACCAGAAATGTGGTAACCTCGGTTGACTCGGATAAATCAAGTTTTAATAATCGAACGCGCGTTGAATGGATGTTCCGAGTGCAACGCAGATATTTCATTAGACCTCGTGCTGCACGTGTAACCCGTGCAGAAGTTGAAATGGCTGTGCATTAGCAATCTGGTGACAAAAGGTCATTATCCGGGGCATGAATCTTGCTGCGCGAAAAAGTTGATCAGCTTTTTGTATCCTGGTAATGAAGTATCACGGGTTTCCCATCTGTGACACAACTTTTGTCGTGGCCCACCTTCGCAGAGATTAGTTTTGACCCGATAGTGTTCAGCCACATTTAGTGTTAATAAGCAGACTAGATGACGTGCTATATTGCGCAACATATATCAAGTACCTGTTCAAGGTTGTAATTCGTTGTAGTAAAACACACACCAGGAAGTACGGACGCCTATTTACATGAAACATGGACCATTTCCTGAAGCGCGGTAATTAACTGAATCGATATTAGGATTTGAAAATAGTTCCATCCACAAAGAGGAAGTTAATACCGCGTGGGGATTCCGGGTTAGAATTGGTCCTCGACAACCTATGCTTGTCGAGGCAACTTGATGCATGGGGTCGCACGATTTGGTGACTTTCTTGATGATGAATCATTGTGCCCGATTAATTACAGAAAATTGCAGCGTTAAACAACAAATACACACATACACGCACGCACGCACGCACGCACGCGCGCGTATAACAAGCATAAATATCTGGAAACATTCTTTGTATACGTACTGCTTATAACCTTATGAAATCTCTTGTTCATAATATTCCAACTATTAGACAGGGGTCTATAAATATTCGCGTCTGGACCAGACAATCCAGTGATTGACATCATGCCTATCGATCTACGAAAATGGGATACGATGACATGCTTCAACCAAGTCAGCGAGCCTGACCACCCGATCCCGTGTGTCGCCTCTTACGACAAGCACAGTCGCCTTTTACGGCAAGCATGGGTTGCTGAAGTGTAGGATAAACCACGCCTACTCGGTTTTGGTAAAATCGCGAGCGAGGGAAACCTCAAGGTTTTACATTTTCAACCAAAACCAAAGAGGCGTGTTTTATCCAACTTATGAACCGCCTAAATGCAAGAAATACCAAAACAAACCAACAAAAACAAAAACAAAACATCAACATGCCTTATAGTGAAATAATACAGTGTATCGCGGTATAAAAGGAATTCGCTCAAAGCGTGCGAGAGAAAAAAAACACGTGCTGCATGAACTAGATGGAGTCGTGACATGATAAACTTAACGTAACCAGCCCCGGTTGCTCAATGGTTATAAAACTTAACACGATTTATGAGGTTGAAGGTTCGATTCACGTCATGGAATTTTCATGTTAAAAAAAATGTGACTTTTAACCAATCATCAAACACAATTGTGTTCGCATCAAGAAGCAAGTTAATAAAACTTTAATCATAAAACCTAGGCATTACAATTAAAATGTATTCATCAGGCCCCGGGCATTGTTCATATTGCCTTCCTCGGATGTTTACCAACATTTAGAAGAACCTTCGCTTACTGTAGTGTGACGTCATCAGAGGTTTATAAGACCTATTCTAACCCGGGTCTTCACGGGTACTAAATTACTGATTATGCTGCTATGTACAAGGATCTTTTTCTAACAGTTACTTTGTCATGATGTCTGCATACAAAATGAAATTTAAGAAAATATATCTATACCATTACCAAATAAAAAGGGTGGGAGCACACACCCCTCCCCACCCCCCTCCTCTGGAAACAATAAAAATATGTTTAACACAAATACACAAACAAAATTCACAATACTACACAAAGGACGTGACCCAGTAATGTGCTATATTTAACCCTGATGCGTTTATGGATACTCGCCAACAAGGTGTATTGATCCCGAGAGACATTTCGCAATTCGGATACCAGTAAATCTGCACGGCGCCCACACGGCGTCCATGACAACTCCAATGAAAAGCTTTGCGTATTGCGAAAGAAGGGGCGTGGCTATTTCGTAAGTCTGGTATAAAAGCGTGCACACAATAAATGTACACTACAAAACTTCAAAACAACATTTTCACTACAAACGAATTTGTTACTCTAAAACCAATGAGTGATCGCGAAAACAAAGCTTACGAGAACGAAATTTACGGATCCAGTCGTTTCGACGGACAAAAAGTAAACCGTTCGAGTAAGAATTCATTCAGTTCCCAAGAAAGGGAACAGTCTAAGGGAGACTACTCTAACTACAAAAATGGCACGAATGGACCGGACCCGACTTGGTAATTATTATCATGATATTATCATCCGTGTTATTATCATCATTGCTTAATTACAATATTATATTATATGAGGTATGAGGTACTAATATTGAAAATCATATGGCGTTTCCTTGTATTAGAACTTTAAGAACTTAAAATGTATTCTTATTTTCGTATCATTTTAAAGCTTTACATAGTATATCCTTTAATTTGTGTTTAAATGATCTGTGTGTGATATCAAATTAATAGCCGATGTTTTATTTGAATGGATATTGAGAAAATTCAGTGTTAATTTATATTCACTCACCTTTGATATCGATTATTATTCAATCGATGATGCCTGATCGGAGGCAACCAGTCATCTATCATGAATTCAAGACTGAGGTCATAAACCACTCTCAAAATACACCAATGTTAAAAACCTGTGATGCTACATTCTATATTTCCTATAGTTTGTGAAATAAATAACAAGGAAGGCGAATATACGTTAACAATAAGTTTAAATTAGAATTAGAGAGTAAAAAATTAATTCATTTGTCGTTTAATTTATTTCCCATTTAACTTTTCGAACGTGAATGTTTAATATAAAAACAAAAGGTACATTTTTAATTCCTCCGCCTGCGAGTTTGACGTCACAACCCTGAAATGGCGAACCCGTGGAAGACTTTTCACATTTGATATATCGCTACGCGGCTTAATATTCAGGCTAAAGGGCATTTTTGAGATTTATAGATATATGTAAGTGGTCAAGCTCATTCATTAGAGCTTCGATGACCACTTTTGAACTATTTTAATAGCGAGAAGGACGCCAAAGGGTGAAATTGCGCAATCGCCGAGTCTTCCGCTTAGTGATTCGGCTCGCACTCATTCTTTTCATCACGACTAGAAGAAAGAGAGCATGTCATATACCTTAGATTATCATGATCGGTAAGCAGTTATCGTGGTTTTACGCGTATTTCAGATCTGAAACTTTGTAAATATATTTGTCTAAACCGTTGGGATGTATAACTCAAGGTGAGATCTCGTATGTGATCGTACTTGCTGTTAAATCCGATCTTTTTTGACAGCAAATCGGGAAGGGGAGCCGGAAACATGGCCGCCAATGGCGCACGTGTGTGTCATCGGTGAACATATGTTATCGGGAATTTTGATGTTTTGTGTTCGCCCAGTTCATTTTCAGCTTAGCCAACATGTGGAATTGAATAGAATAGTATTCCTTCTGCTAATATATTTCTAATTTGGAATGACCTGACGGCTTGATAATTGATACTGACTTGTGTAAAAATCAACCACTCCGAAGCATGGCATGGACTGTCCTCGATGACACGAAGGATTAGTAACATAAATTACTCGGACTTCCATTGTAGTCTTATGATACCGAGCTACGTGTAAAATATAAGATATTCAGTTAGACTACTTAATGATCTATGATAACGAGTGAAAATAATTCTTTGAGAAACCTGAGGTCTTTAGCTAAAACAATTCCCAAAACGGAGGTCTCAAACAGATGTGGGTTGCATATGACGCATATCTGAAACTTCTCTAGAATTAGTTCTTGTTTAATGTATTATTTTTTGAAATCACATCATGTAGCCTATATCTTGCATATTTAGGGATTCGCCATGCTGTATCTATTTTCGAGTCTTAAGGACTCTGTAATACTTGAGTTCAAGGGTCAGCATGAACATTGAGTGTCCCAGGCTGGCAACAAGTTGCATGATTTCCAACTATTTTATAATTGTTTTATTGCATATCAGGATCCCTAAGAATTATTGATGGGGATTTCGATGTTAAGTTGAGGAAAATTAACCTTTCACACTCTGAAAATTCAGGGTTGTTTTCCCAGAATTGAAATAGACAGAATAGTGTTTCTTACATAAATTTTTAAATATTTGAGGGTGGGGAATAAGGGCGGAAGTCTTACCAACAAATCTTCCGTACCTACTTTAAGACAAGTTTATAAATAATGAAGTGTGGTGTCTATAGTAATCTTATATAGGCTAGCAATACATAGGTACATCATGAGTTTTCATGCAATGATACACTTCCTGGAATAAGTTACTACTCGTTTGATGACCTCCAGCATCTGTCAGTGAAATATTGCAAAATATGTTGTAATTAGCATTTTGAGTTCACCTCTGAAAATAGCCACTACGAACATGTCAACAGATAGCTTTTCTTTTGAACCTGCCCTGAAATATTTATAGTTGAGAAGTTTTCCTAAAGGTAGATTTAACAACAAATATGTATGTATGCTCCTATCAACAGTTACTGGCACTTTTCCAAACTACCTGGCCTACAATTAAATGGAGGCTGCAAAGCAGCCAATGCATATGATGTATTTGAACTGACGTTTACTTTGTTTGATCTGTAACCTGTATTTTCAAACTCTCCAGGCCTCAAACGCAGGGGTCATTTGATGATGAGCCGCGGGACAAGGGGGAACAGAGACAGCAGCAGAAATCTGATGACAATCCAGACGACAAGGAAATCTCTCGTGATGCCATTCCAGACACTAACATGGTCATCGAGGTATGGTAACTTCCCAATTCTTGAGTTGGCAGATGGTCGTCGAATCTGAAGTAACAGAGTAGGATTACCTGTAGACAGACATTTAGTCCCAGAAATAATTTTCTTATTAAAAAATATATGTCTCCAAAATATGGGGGGGGAATCCAAATGGAGCCCATAACAATCTTTAATTTCAGGTCTGATTTGCACAATCATTCTTCATTTGGACGCCTTTGTCAATTTATTCTCTAGTGCCTGGGAGACAGACTAGATTACCTGCTAAACTTTCAAATGAAAAACTGCGAACATTCTTCATGTGACGAGCCCGCAAGCTATAGCCTTTTTAGGAGCCAGTGAAGTTAGTTTGCCTGTGTGGTAATTAATGAAATAAATGCTGAGGCAATTGTCGTTTCCCCTATGATGGGATAAAAGGCCAAACTTCAACCTATTCTGTGAATTGCAGAGCAACTGGACAAGTGTTGTGGAGTCCTTTGATGACATGAAGCTGAATGAACAACTTCTACGAGGAATCTATGCCTATGGTTTCGAAAAACCATCTGCTATCCAGCAGAGAGCTGTCATGCCCTGTATTGCAGGTGGGTTGGTCACTCTGGGTAACTTTGATGGTGTTTTAGTGTATGTCATACTGGCAATTTAATCCTCCATCTGTATTCTTTGAAACATGTTGAAAATTTCCAAAACTTTGCACAAGTGTAAATTAGCAGTGAAAAGGAACCAAATTTCAATACTTAAAGATAAACAGGTTCAACTTGATTGGTTTTATTTCAAAATAATACTCACTTAAAATATTTGGTCTTACAGTTGATGGAAGGCTAATTGCTTGAATATTATTCTCCCTTTGCCAGAAATTGGGGCTGATGTGGTGCATTTTGCTATTTAGGAATTGACAAAATTTTGTTTTTCAGTTTCCCATGGAAACAAGTTTTGACTCATTCATTTTCGTGTGTACTTGACAGGGAAATACAAAATGTCGAATCACAGTTAGATGGTATTATTTTGATAGCTAAATAACTACCCTTGTAGACAGATTAGATAGAAATTCTCGAACATGTTGGACTTAAGTAACAGTCAGATAATTTGAGGGCCATGGGTAGATTTGTCATCTACTGATGACACTTGTTTATAGAATTACTGCCCTTGTTCCATGCTTTTCAACTTAGTGCATACTGCATCGAAAGGGGACATGTTTTCTTAGAAACTACTGAAGTTACATGGTGAAAAGTTTGTGTGCTTATCAGGAAGATACTTCTGAAGACTGAGTTCGAATACTGGTACCATAAATTATTTTTATCCCCCGCAACACATTTTGCAGGAGGTAAAATGGGCACTATCTGTCAATTAAAGATGTCATTTTCACAGCAGATCTTGGAAACTGTACAATATTTCTTTTCCAAACTTGGCAGATGGATAGGTCTAGTGGTGAACTGGTGCCTTTTGAGAGTTCATATTTTAGAATATCTTTTTTGGCAACAACTTTGACTTGACTGAAAATGATTTTAGGTTATTCTATATGAGTACACAAAATTCTTGTGCTCTATCAGTGGGATAGTGATAAAGCTGTTGTCTTGATTAGATGTTACGTTGTTCCAAGTGTTTGCTTGGTTGGTTTTTTTAGTAAATATGATTTGTCATGTGTGTTGCAGGCCATGATGTAATTGCCCAGGCCCAATCCGGTACAGGCAAGACAGCCACCTTCTCTGTTGCAATCCTTCAGAGACTGGATATCTCCATCAAGTCTTGCCAGGCCCTGGTTCTTGCTCCCACCAGAGAACTCGCACAACAGGTAAGTTGTGGGTTTCTAGTTCTATATTATTGTGGGTGGCTTGCTTGTTAACAGTTATGCTAATTCAGGTTAGCAAGGAGGTCTCCAATTGTGAAATGTGGGCCAAGTTGTCTAGGTGCTGCTATTAGCTGTGCAGAGTTGTGTCCCTTGGTCATGTCAGAAACATGATTATGGTTTCAAAGCTCAATACGCCCGAGGTTCCTCAGCACCACACCCATCTCGAGGGTTTCACCTAAGTGGGAAACGGTAAGCTGGTACTCTGGTCAAAGGCATTAAACATGCTCACTACATGTGAAAATGGCTATGACTGATCCATTGGACACAGTAATTTCATTTTTGAGTATTAAGCAACAGTTTTATTTTCCTTTGGCTGAAGTTAACAAAGATGTTGAATAAAGACGAGCTTGTCTTGTAAATCTGTTTCTCAAAGTTACATCAACACTTGCAGTGACAAAACGTTTGTGTTTACTTGACCATTATGGACCAAATTTGTTCTATGGCAATGTTTTCAGTAGGTAAGACCATAAGAGGTTTTTCTTGACAGGCTTAAGACTAGTTGATAAAGTCTCAGACTGCATGTGTTCAGAGCCTTTTGTTCCTCACAACATTTACTTCCCAAAAGCACCGCGTTGTTCAATGACAGTGCTGGTTGTCAAGCGGAAGAAGATAAAAGCATATCACTTGGGTGAGGTGTATGTCTTGTGGCTTTCATCTCAATATTGTGTGCGACACTTAATGAACAAAATGTGAAAGTTTGTACTGATGTTTTATCAATCCTAATGTTTAGGCATACGGGTGAAATAAGTGGTTAGATTTGATTGCTGTTTTCCCATGGTCCATTGTATTTAGGAATTAATATAAGTTCAAATATATATAGTTGGTAGGAATACCATGTCGCTGATATGTGTTTAAAACGAATCAGGCCTTGACCCTCAGACACGCGAAGATCTGGATAGAGAATAAGTCTTCAGCAACCCAACCTTGTCGTAAGAGGCGACTAAATGGAACAGGTGGCCAGACTCGCTGACTTGGTTGATGCATGTCACCATACTCCAATTGTGTGGATTGATGCTCATAATGTCAATCACTGGATTGTCTGGTTCAGATTCAATTTAGACCCGCCGTCATATAGCTGGAATATTGCTGAGTGTGACAAACTTAAAAAGTTTCAGATTTACAGGATTCGGCTGAAAGCTGTGCATGAGATTAGTGATGTGACAACAGTTCACAGGCAGATGTGACCTGAGTAGCAGTATCATCACTCAAAAGCCTTGATTTTTAGTGTCAACCTTGAAAATCTAAGACATGGCTTGAAAAGTCATGAATTTGTATAAATTGACATACTTTACATTCGTAACTTTTCCTATGACAAGTATCTGTGAGTTTCATGCTTTATTCAGAACACTGTTGAGTGACAAGTCACTAGCCCCAAGTCCATGTGTAGTGAGTTGGCTGAGAATGATGCCAGAGACAAGTTTGGAGGGGGAACACATTGTAGTGGATTTAAGGGGGAACACATTGTAGTGGATTTAAGGGGGAATATCTGAACACTCCCAATATACTGTTATATTCCTTCCCTACCAATTTAACCGCACCTGGACCGTGGGGGAATTTATCAACAGCAAATGCTTTATATACTGTTTATGAATTTGACTTGAGGATTTGTTTGAAATTTGAAGCCCTATTGCTAAAAGCTTGAATACCATTATCTTGATATGTCACTGTGACCCACTTGACGATATATCTCATTTGAACAGTATTTAGGTTTGTCAGCACTATATCCATGCTCGTGGGTTTCACCGAAGTGGTAAACTTCCGAGACCTGCATCACTTCGGGCTTTCCTCCCACATTAAGCTGACACGCCGCGATATAACTGGAATACTGTTAAAGCGGCGTAAAACCCAACTCGCTCATTTACTCATTTGAACAAGATCGTGTGAGAATTGATATCTTATGACTCTCTGATGTAACGCTCAAGCATTGGTTCCCTTTGCCTTGACATGTTATCAAGCAAGATGTTGGAAACTCATTATTTGTATGGTAAATCTGTTGGCCAAACTTCCCAAGAGCACCGTATTGTCATGTGACTTTGCTGGTCGCAAAGTGGAAGAAGACAAAAGCATGTGACTTGGGTGAGGTGGATGTCTTGTGACTTTCATCTCAATATTGTGTGCAACAGTTAATTTACCAAAATTACTCCTGTGGTATTTGGATCTAGGAATCCCTTACAGGGCTTTATCTAGACCTTCTTAGAGACAGTTATTCGTCCTTGTCGTAAAAGGCGACAAATGGGATCCAGGTGGTCCAGCTCGCTGACTTGGTTGATGCATGTTGAATCTCAGTTTGGGACTTCATGGTTTTACTAATTGTCAGCCTACGGCACATAGTTTGGAATCCTTGATAAATCCCTTGGTCCTAAGGTTACAACTTTTCAAATGACATGGTGCCTTGACATTCATGCTCAATTCTGAAAACTGTTATAATAAAGCAAGTTATGTTAAGCGATAGAAATTAATAGGTCATTGCATCCTTTGGTTGTGCCAGGATTACATGGTCTGTGTTGAATGAGGTCCCATAGTCTCCTAAGTTAGTATCCTTGCTTTCAACCCTTTGCCAATGCTTGTGGAATACAACTACTGTCTCTTGCTTGTTGGCCAAACTTCCCAAGAGCACCGTATTGTCATGTGACTTTGCTGGTCGCCAAGAGGAAGAAGACAAAAGCACGTGACTTGGGTGAGGTGGATGTCTTGTGACTTTCATCTCAATATTGTGTGCAACAGTTAATTTACCAAAATTACTCCTGTGGTATTTGGATCTAGGAATCCCTTCCAGGGCTTTATCTAGACCTTCTTAGAGGCAGTTATTTGTCCTTGTCGTAAAAGGCGACAAATGGGATCCAGGTGGTCAGATCTAAGGTTACAACTTTTCAAATGACTTGGTGCATTGACATTCATGCTCAATTCTGACAACTGTTATAATTAAGCAAGTTATGTTAAGCGGTAGAGATTAATAGGTCATTGCATCCTTTGGTTGTGCCAGGATTTCTTGGTCTGTGTTGAGTGAGGTCCCATAGTCTCCTAAGTTAGTATCCTTGCTTTCAACCCTTTGCCAATGCTTGTGGAATACAACTACTGTCTCTTGCTTGGGGTTTTCCTCCATTGTATAGCCGAAATGCAGTGACAGTAAACATTGTTCAAAGTTAGGCTACACCTAATTACTCTTTCCTTGGCTGTGTGGCCAAGGTGGTTTGTTTTTTAATCTGGAGTTGGTGCAATTCACTTCCCAAAAGCACCGTCTTGTCATGTGACTTTGCTGGTTGTCAAGCGGAAGAAGATAAAAGCATATCACTTGGGTGAGGTGTATGTCTTGTGGCTTTCATCTCAATATTGTGTGCGACACTTAATGAACAAAATGTGAAAGTTTGTACTGATGTTTTATCAATCCCAATGTTTAGGCATAAGGGTGAAATAAGTGGTTAGATTTGATTGCTGTTTGCCCATGGTCCATTGTATTTAGGAATTGATATAAGTTCAAATATATATAGTTGGTAGGAATACCATGTCGCTGATATGTGTTTAAAACGAATCAGGCCTTGACCCTCAGACACGCGAAGATCTGGATAGAGAATAAGTCTTCAGCAACCCAACCTTGTCGTAAGAGGCGACTAAATGGATCAGGTGGCCAGACTCGCTGACTTGGTTGATGCATGTCACCCATACTCCAATTGCGTGGATTGATGCTCATAATGTCAATCACTGGATTGTCTGGTTCAGACTCGATTCAGACCCGCCATCATACAGCTGGAATATTGCTGAGTGCGGCAAACTTAAAAAGTTTCAGACTTACAGGATTCGGCTGAAAGCTGTGCATGAGATTAGTGATTGACAACACTTCACAGGCAGATGTGACCTGAGTAGCAGTATCACTCAAAAGCCTTGATTTTTAGTGTCAACCTTGAAATGCCTTGAAAATCTTAAGACAAAGCTTGAAAAGTCATGAATTTGTATAAATTGACATACTTTACATTCGTAACTTTTCCAGTGACAAGGATCTGTGAGTTTCATGCTTAATTCAGAACACTGTTGAGTGACAAGTCACTAGCCCCAAGTCCATGTGTAGTGAGTGGCTGAGAATGATGCCAGAGACAAGTTTGGAGGGGGAACACATGGTAGTGGATTTTAGGGGAATATCTGAACACTCCCAATATTCTGTGATATTCCTTGCCTACCAATTTAACCCCACCTGAACCTGGGAGAATTTATCAACAGCAAATGCTTTATATACTGTTTATGAATTTGACTTGAGGATTTGTTTGAAATTTGAAGCACTATTACTATAAGCTTTAATACCATTATCTTGATCAGCGTTAGAAATTGGCACTAGTCCTAGCCAAACTGCCCAATGGTAAAGGTATCATAAAGACTAGTAGAAATGTGCCCTTTTTAAGGGTTTTGCTATATGTTATCATTATAAGGACTAGTGGAAGAAAACTGTTAGTTTCTAACCCTGTTGATATGTCACTGTGACCCACTTAACAATATATCTCATTTGAACAGTTTCTAGGTTTGTCAGCACCATTCCCATGCTCGGTTTCACCGAAGTGGTAAACGTCCGAGACCTGCATCACTTCAGGCTTTCCTCCCACATTAAGCTGGCACGCCACGATATAACTGGAATACTGTTAAAAGCGGCGTTAAACCCAACTCACTCATTTACTCATTTGAACAATATCGTGTGAGAATTGATATCTTATGACTTTCCAATGTAACGCTCAAGCATTGGTTCCCTTTGCCTTGACATGTTATCGAGCAAGATGTTGGACACTCATTATTTGTATGGTAAATCTGTTGGCCAAACTTCCCAAGAGCACCGTATTGTCATGTGACTTTGCTGGTCGCCAAGTGGAAGAAGACAAAAGCACGTGACTTGGGTGAGGTGGATGTCTTGTGACTTTCATCTCAATATTGTGTGCAACAGTTAATTTACCAAAATTACTCCTGTGGTATTTGGATCTAGGAATCCCTTCCAGGGCTTTATCTAGACCTTCTTAGAGGCAGTTATTCGTCCTTGTCGTAAAAGGCGACAAATGGGATCCAGGTGGTCCGGCTCGCTGACTTGGTTGATGCATGTTGAAACTCAGTTTGGGTCTTCATGGTTTTACTAATTGTCAGCCTACGGCACATAGTTTGGAATCCTTGATAAATCCCTTGGTCCTAAGGTTACAACTTTTCAAATGACATGGTGCCTTGACATTCATGCTCAATTCTGAAAACTGTTATAATAAAGCAAGTTATGTTAAGCGATAGAAATTAATAGGTCATTGCATCCTTTGGTTGTGCCAGGATTACATGGTCTGTGTTGAATGAGGTCCCATAGTCTCTTAAGTTAGTATCCTTGCTTTCAACCCTTTGCCAATGCTTGTGGAATACAACTACTGTCTCTTGCTTGTTGGCCAAACTTCCCAAGAGCACCGTATTGTCATGTGACTTTGCTGGTCGCCAAGTGGAAGAAGACAAAAGCACGTGACTTGGGTGAGGTGGATGTCTTGTGACTTTCATCTCAATATTGTGTGCAACAGTTAATTTACCAAAATTACTCCTGTGGTATTTGGATCTAGGAATCCCTTCCAGGGCTTTATCTAGACCTTCTTAGAGGCAGTTATTTGTCCTTGTCGTAAAAGGTGACAAATGGGATCCAGGTGGTCAGATCTAAGGTTACAACTTTTCAAATGACTTGGTGCCTTGACATTCATGCTCAATTCTGACAACTGCTATAATTAAGCAAGTTATGTTAAGCGGTAGAGATTAATAGGTCATTGCATCCTTTGGTTGTGCCAGGATTTCTTGGTCTGTGTTGAGTGAGGTCCCATAGTCTCCTAAGTTAGTATCCTTGTTTTCAACCCTTTGCCAATGCTTGTGGAATACAACTACTGTCTCTTGCTTGGGGTTTTCCTCCATTGTATAGCCGAAATGCAGTGACAGTAAACATTGTTCAAAGTTAGGCTACACCTAATTACTCTTTCCTTGGCTGTGTGGCCAAGGTGGTTTGTTTTTTAATCTGGAGTTGGTGCAATTCACTTCCCAAAAGCACCGTCTTGTCATGTGACTTTGCTGGTTGTCAAGCGGAAGAAGATAAAAGCATATCACTTGGGTGAGGTGTATGTCTTGTGGCTTTCATCTCAATATTGTGTGCGACACTTAATGAACAAAATGTGAAAGTTTGTACTGATGTTTTATCAATCCCAATGTTTAGGCATAAGGGTGAAATAAGTGGTTAGATTTGATTGCTGTTTGCCCATGGTCCATTGTATTTAGGAATTAATATAAGTTCAAATATATATAGTTAGTAGGAATACCATGTCGCTGATATGTGTTTAAAACGAATCAGGCCTTGACCCTCAGACACGCGAAGATCTGGATAGAGAATAAGTCTTCAGCAACCCAAGCTTGTCGTAAGAGGCGACTAAATGGATCAGGTAGCCAGACTCGCTGACTTGGTTGATGCATGTCACCATACTCCAATTGCGTGGATTGATCGCCGTCATATAGCTGGAATATTGCTGAGAGCGGCAAACTTAAAAAGTTTCAGATTTACAGGATTTGGCTGAAAGCTGTGCGTGAGATTAGTGATGTGACAACAGTTCACAGGCAGATGTGACCTGAGTAGCAGTATCACTCAAAAGCCTTGATTTTTAGTGTCAAAAACCTTGAAATGCCTTGAAAATCTAAGACAAAGCTTGAAAAGTCATGAATTTGTATAAATTGACATACTTTACATTCGTAACTTTTCCAGTGACAAGGATCTGTGAGTTTCATGCTTAATTCAGAACACTGTTGAGTGACAAGTCACTAGCCCCAAGTCCATGTGTAGTGAGTGGCTGAGAATGATGCCAGGCACAAGTTTGAAGGGGGAACACATGGTAGTGGATTTTAGGGGGAATATCTGAACACTCCCAATATTCTGTGATATTCCTTGCCTACCAATTCAACCGCACCTGAACCTGGGAGAATTTATCACCAGCAAAATGCTTTATATACTGTTTATGAATTTGACTTGAGGATTTGTTTGAAATTTGAAGCACTATTACTATAAGCTTAAATACCATTATCTTGAATGATATGTCACTGTGACCCACTTAACAATATATCTCATTTGAACAGTTTCTAGGTTTGTCAGCACCATTCCCATGCTCGGTGGTTTCACCGAAGTGGTAAACGTCCGAGACCTGCATCACTTCAGGCTTTCCTCCAACATTAAGCTGGCACGCCACGATATAACTGGAATATTGTTAAAAGCGGCGTTAAACCCAACTCACTCACCCATTTACTCATTTGAACAAGATCGTGTGAGAATTGATATCTTATGACTCTCCAATGTAACGCTCAAGCATTGGTTACCTTTGCCTTGACATGTTATCGAGCAAGATGTTGGACACTCATTATTTGTATGGTAAATCTGTTGGCCAAACTTCCCAAGAGCACCGTATTGTCATGTGACTTTGCTGGTCGCCAAGTGGAAGAAGACAAAAGCATGTGACTTGGGTGAGGTGGATGTCTTGTGACTTTCATCTCAATATTGTGTGCGACATTTACTTATCGTCATGATCAATGTGTTGAATTTTTTAGAAGTGCTAATTAATCAAACCAATTTTATTTTTTTAAATTTATTGAATTTTATTGCTTTAAAATGTTAATTTGGGTTCAGTAAGAAATCAGATGTCTGGTGCCTTGGCAAACAGTTTCATACCACCTATAAAGACATCCACTCAGACAACAAATGTGTTGAGTTTAGCTTGCTTGTTTAAATGTCTCACTGAACAATTTTCCATCTGTATGATGGAAGCCGTGATCAAACCTAACCGCGCAATCTATTAGTTTGCCTCTTGGGACCAGCATTAATTAACTCAATTCACGACAGGGACCTTATGGGGTCTTGGTGGTTAAATGTTTCCAATTTCTTAAAGTTGTGGACCAAGTGTAGCTGGCCTCTGGGTATCGTTTTACTGAATCATAAACAGCAGTTTTGACATTCATTCAGTTGGGCAATGGCATGTCAACATTTTGTATATATATCTTCCCAAAAGCACCGTATAGTCATGTGACTTTGCTGGTTGTCAAGTGGAAGAAGATAGAAGCATATCACTTTGCTGAAGTGGAAGTCTTGTGATTTTCATCTCAATATTGTGTGCGACAGTTGCTACCGATGTCATAAAAGGATTGCCAATGCTTGTGGTATAGTTCTTAGATCTACTGTCTCTTTCCTTGCGGTTTTCCTCCAGTATAAGCCGAAAGGCAGTGACTTTATGTACAACATCATTCAATTACTCTTTCCTTGGCTGTGGTAAAGCCAAGGTGGTTTGTTTTGTAATCTGGAGTTGGTGCAATTCACTTCCCAAAAGCACCGTCTTGTCATGTGACTTTGCTGGTTGTCAAGTGGAAGACGATAGAAGGATATCATTTGGGTGAGGTGTATGTCTTATGGCTTTCATATCAATATTGTGTGCGACAGTTGCTACGGATTGTGAAGACTTGCTCATGTCATTAGGGTGTTCAATACTTTGGATGATAGGCCACTTTTCTAAGAAAATATTTGAACTGAATTCATTATTATTACATTCATACCTCTTTGTGTTACAGATTCAGAAAGTGGTTGTTGCCCTCGGTGACTATCTTGGAGCCAAGTGTCATGCCTGCATTGGTGGCACAAATGTCCGCGACGACATTCGCAAACTTGAAGATGGTATTCATGTGGTCGTGGGAACCCCGGGACGTGTGTTTGACATGATTAACAGGCGTGTTCTGAGTAAGTTAACTTGAAGTTGTAAAATATCTTACTTGGAAGATTGTTTTATATACTCACCAACAGAAGAAACGCAAATACCATACATGTTGGTTTATGTATGAAGAATTACTAATATTCAAGAGATATTGGATTGGTTTGCTGCACAACTGAACATTCTGTTGTGTTGTGTGAAACGACGCTCATGGATGCATCGCATGTGACGTCCGATCCATGACTCAGATGCACCATTTCTAGTGCAGGATTAGTGTGTAAAGTTTGGAAATCACCAGCAGCAACTCGTGATAAGAATAAAGACACTGTGATAACACTTGACTGATTCTTATTTCGTCATTAAATGGTACAAATTGGAAACATCTCTTAGCATGTTAACATTCATGCTTCTGTATGTGCCTGTGGTACGCGTTTCTTTTGGCGATAAGGGGCACTGTAGCCCAGTTGTCTAAGGCGCCGCAATTCGTGGTGTAGAGTTGTCCCTTGGTAACGTCAGTAACCTATGATTGTGGGTTCGAATCCCGGTTCGCCCTGATTATGTTTCTAGGATTGTCAGCACCATACCCGTGCTCGTGGGTTTCACCGATGTGAAAGGATTTTCTTATATAGGTTCCTGCAAGACCTTGGAATCTAGTTATTGTTTAACAGTGATGATAAATTGTTCTTTTTCTGTATCTAGATTGCAAACACATCCAGATGTTTGTTCTGGACGAGGCCGACGAGATGTTGTCCCGAGGATTCAAGGATCAAATCTATGATGTTTTCCAGTACATGAACGCCAACACCCAGGTCAGTCCTTTGCACCCTCATGTGTTGGCAGTCGTGTATACAAGTCAGTAGAGTACTGATGAGTTTCCTAGTCAAACCAGTTATGGGCTTGTAGAGGTTTAAAGAGCATCAATTCGAAATCACTAACTTTGCTTAGTGAAACCTATGTTATCAAGCACAAACATGTACATTTTGAAAAGTTTTAATAAAAACTTTAAAATAATACCTATTATGCCGTACATCGAGGAAATGTGTCTCACAACAGTTATAATAATGTCTTATACCGATGCTGACATGCCTATCCAAGATAGGTCATAAACATTACAAAAACAGCTGGAGTGAATGTTTTTGTTAGTATCATACTGTATACGAAAGCTGAAACTGTAGTTTCGTACACATGTGCTGATAACTACTTTCCACTTGCACAACAAACCCTAGAACAGGTCTTCAGCAACCAATGCTTGCCATAAAAGGCAACTGTAAATCTGTTAGTCAAACTTCCCAAGAGCACCGTATTGTCATGTGACTTTGCTGGTCGCCAAGTGGAAGAAGACAAAAGCACATGACTTGAGTGAGGTGGATGTCTTGTGACTTTCATCTCCATATTGTGTGCAACAGTTAATTAACAAAAAATACTTCTGTGGTATTTGGATCTACGGACCCTTACAGGGCTTTATCTAGACCTCCTTAGCGGCAGTTATTCGTCCTTGTTGTAAGAGTTGACAAATGGGATAGGGTGGTCCGGCTCGCTGACTTGGTTGATACATGTCATCGTATCCCAATTGCGTGTATCATTGCTCATGATATCAAACATACAAACTTGCACAACATGATTTGGGGGTTAGGACATCACCTACAATGTCATGGGTCATTATTGCTAAAATCACATGCTAAAGTTTGTTAGGTAAAGACAAAGTCATTTACAGGCTGTAGTAACTCTTAACTATCTGTGTTTCATCAATGTTGGATGTTGTAGGTGGTGCTGCTGTCTGCCACGATGCCTGTGGAGGTGCTTGAGGTGACACAGAGGTTCATGAGGACTCCAATCAGGATCTTGGTGAAGAAAGAAGAGCTCACCTTGGAGGGTATCAAACAGTTCTACATCTCCGTAGAGAGAGAGGTGAGGCCCAGTTGTCTGTTAGATCAGATCTCCCACCACTGGTGCAGTGTCCCTGTTAGAAAATGACATGATAGCTTTGTTGTCAATTTCTTGTGTAGTTAACACCTAGGGCTGGAACGATACCTAGGTACACCCAAGACTTGAATCATAAGTTTTTGAGATTGCAATACGTTATAGAAAGATATAAATAGAACAGGAACTAATAGTTACCTCCCGTAATGGCAGAAGTAGCATAGTAAGCATGGCAAAACACGACGACGTTGGGTTTGTGGTCAAGCTTTGATTTCTTTCTCTGCTATATGGCACCTGAAATGTTCATCCCATTCATCACTCTGTATGCTACATAATGTAGACCTGACCATGATGGTTGCAGTGATGAAGACACTTCCACTATTCGCAGTTTCCACAGAGAGGGTTAAACCTCGAAGATGTCAATATCCTTCCTTGGATGTCTGAGCAACCCATACTCTATAACTAAATATGACTTGCTATGCAAATTTGGTTTATTCACATCATAGGGTGCGGTTCTTTCTCATAAATCCATCGGAACTGTTTCAGGAGTGGAAACTGGACACCCTTTGTGATCTGTACGAGACTCTGACCATCACACAGGCTGTCATATTCTGCAATACTCGAAGGAAAGTAGACTGGCTCACAGAGAAAATGATGTCCAGAGACTTCACAGTATCTGCCTTGGTGGGTATATTATGGTGTATTAACTGGATCAGCCTTTTGATATTGGGGGGCGGGGGAATTTGTCACCTTCAGGTGACTGTTTTAGATAGCTTTACTTGTATTCAAGAGAATGAGGACAGTTGCAATGATGAAGACACTTCCACTATTCGCAGTTTCCACAGAGAGGTCCAAACCTCAAAGATGTCAATATCCTTCCTTGGATGTCTGAGCAACTGTTGCAAATTTTAGTTCATTAAAATTTATGTATGATCTCAGCACTGTTCATGGGTTCATCTGTGTTAAGGGTGTTTTATAGATATGTGTTTACACTTTAACACCACCCTGCATAAGAGCTATACGACATGCCTATAGATAGATCGATTGCACACATCAGTTAATACCGATGTATCACAAATTGACACCTGGCAATTTGAATCATTAATCTGATTGCATACTGGTTGGTGGAAACATTTGGTAGCCTGACAGCAAGGAAATGTAAAGATGACACTTTAAGTATTGCAATAAAATTGTATCCTGGCTCGTGGATCAGTGTGAGGTAAGTGTATTGCGATTTTGTCTTCTTGTCCCAAAGATGTGCAGCCTTAAATGCCCCTTCTGTGTTTTAGCACGGCGACCTGGATCAGAAGGAACGAGACGTCATTATGCGGGAGTTCCGCACAGGATCCAGTCGAGTGCTGATCACCACCGACTTGCTTGCCAGGGGCATTGATGTCCAACAGGTGTCGCTTGTCATCAACTATGATCTGCCCGCCAACAGAGAAAACTACATTCATAGGTGCGTACATCTTCCATGAACCAGTCTATAAAGCTGATTTTTTGTTGATTCCAGAAATGGACTCTTTATTTTGATTTTTGAAATCTGATCGGATTTTAAGGATGTTGACATAATTGGGGCAAACTTACATCATTTGGTTACTGAGAGATTTATACTTGTGCATTTAACTGTCGGCCGTCATTACATTGGCTACATTTGAAACCGAGTTCACTTCTATTAACAGACCATTAAGCATCAAACTTGGCCTCAGGGGTTTCAATAATACGGTGTTCCATTTTTAGCCAAACATGAGAAAGAAGGCTAGACATCTTTGTCTCTCATAAATACTGTTTTCTATCAGCCTGGAATAGCCATCTGCACAAGTGGCCACTCCACTGATGTTTTCGAATTGTGACTATTCAGTCCTATCTTCACTGTCCACACATTTCTACCTTCATAGATTCCCCTGCATCTGAATATAACAATGGTCTCCCTTTTTTCCTCAGAATTGGACGAGGCGGACGATTTGGCCGAAAGGGTGTGGCCATTAACTTTGTGACAGAAGCTGATACCCGCACAATGCGGGACATCGAAGCCTTCTACAACACACAGGTTGAAGAGATGCCTATGAATGTTGCTGACCTTATTTAATTTAAGTCAAATCTAGGTCTTTTTCACTGGTTCCGATTCAAACACTGGGACTAGTCGCAAGGATTCTGTTTGAAACAATCTAAAATTGACTTAATGCATTCATTAGCTCTTACGTAATGTCTATTGTTTTCTCTTGCTGACTGTTTGCAAAAACGGTCATGCAAGGTTATCAGCTGTCTGAAGCATCAGCCATGTTAATACCAACTAAATTATGCCTAATTATTAGCAGCACTCATTATTTTTATATTACCAAATTGTTTCCTTTGTTGCGCATGTAAAAAGGCACCACAGTATCAGATATTTTGATATTGTGCAATACCAAGCATCTTTAAATTTTTAAAAATTACAAAAAAATAGCAATTGTCATTTGAAAAAAAATGTAAGTGAAAAAAAAATCCTGTACAGACGTTGAAATGTATCATTTTGTGTTGTTCGTCGTCCATTGCTCTGTGGTATGCATCACAGCCTACCTTCCTACCACCACTCATAGGGGCGGGCGGCTCATGTTGGTCCGCGCGGGATCTGGGTTATGACTGTTCCAAGAAACGCGGCAAAAAACATACTAGATGTATTAAAGTCATGTATTGATAATGCTGGTCTTTGATTTATTTGCTCATGGTCTGAAATCCACATTCACCTAGGAACATGGAGTCGCATTCCTTAGGTGTGCAGACCACCATCGTGGTCTTGTGGTAGAGCGTTCGCCTGGAGAGAGGAAGGTCCGATCCCCAGCCGCGTCATACCAAAAGACTGTCTGTCGCTCGGCATTAAGGGGCTAAAAGAAGGACTGGTTGCTCGGAGTCAGTATAGTGTGTCTGAATAGGGTATTCACGTTAATCTGCAGCATGGAATCTGTGAGGTAGCACTTTAATCGGCATCAGTCCTGACAAGTACAAGCACACACGCATACACGTCGCTATATAAGTGCAATAATCTTGGACGCAACATTAAACCCAATTTCACCTCCCCTCACCTCAGGTGTGCCAGAAACTTATGGGTTCAAATTTTGTCAGCACGCTACCTGTGCTTATGAGTTGAACTGAAATAGAATGCTGCAATAGAACTGAAATCCTGATCAAAACGATATTTAACCCAACTCAGTCAATCCATATTTGCCGTACAACTACAGGGTCCTTGTCTGTGGTAGTGTTTCTACCGTACAACTACAGGGTCCTTGTCTGTGGTAGTGTTTCTACCATACAACTACAGGGTCCTTGTCTGTGGTAGTGTTTCTACCGTACAACTACAGGGTCCTTGTCTGTGGTAGTGTTTCTACCGTACAACTACAGGGTCCTTGTCTGTGGTAGTGTTTCTACCATACAACTACAGGGTCCTTGTCTGTGGTAGTGTTTCTACCGTACAACTACAGGGTCCTTGTCTGTGGTAGTGTTTCTACCGTACAACTACAGGGTCCTTTGTCTGTGGTAGTGTTTCTACCATACAACTACAGGGTCCTTGTCTGTGGTAGTGTTTCTACCGTACAACTACAGGGTCCTTGTCTGTGGTAGTGTCCTACCGTACAACTACAGGGTCCTTGTCTGTGGTAGTGTTTCTACCGTACAACTACAGGGTCCTTGTCTGTGGTAGTGTTTCTACCGTACAACTACAGGGTCCTTTGTCTGTGGTAGTGTTTCTACCATACAACTACAGGGTCCTTGTCTGTGGTAGTGTTTCTACCATACAACTACAGGGTCCTTGTCTGTGGTAGTGTCCTACCGTACAACTACAGGGTCCTTGTCTGTGGTAGTGTTTCTACCGTACAACTACAGGGTCCTTGTCTGTGGTAGTGTTTCTACCATACAACTACAGGGTCCTTGTCTGTGGTAGTGTTTCTACCGTACAACTACAGGGTCCTTGTCTGTGGTAGTGTTTCTACCATTGGTTCAAGTTGCTGTGTTTTCACTATGAGCTTGTTCCAAAGTTGAAAGGATCAATCATTTTATCAGATTCTCATTGATGATGATCCTTTTCTGTCAGCACCATCCGTGATAGAAACTGGCACTTGTCCTATAGTCCTTGCCAAACTGCCTTAGTAGAAATATAGCAAAACCCTCAAAAGTAGCCTATGTTACTTATATGCTTATCACTTATAAGGTGGGTACAGGTGGTCCAGTCGTCTGAAGCGCTGCGATTTGCTGCCCCCCTCGGGCATGCCAAAAAGCTATGATTGTTGGTTCGAATCCAGATTGTTTCTAGGTTTGTCAGCACCATGCCCGTGCTCATGGCTTTCACCGAAATGGTCAACGTCTGAGACCTGCATCACTTCGGGCTTTCCTCCCACATTAAGCTGACATCCAGTGATATAATTGGAATACTGTTAAAACCGGTGTTAAACCCAACTCACTATAAGGACTAATGGTCTAAAAATGTTGTGTTTCTAATAGCAGGCACCATACTTGTGTGACTTGCCATTTTTCATTACAAACCTGTGTCTTGGCTTTTCTCCTATATGAAGCAGACACACTGTGATATACCCGATATTCCAAATACAATGTGTTTTCAACAACTAATTTAAGATTTTGCTGGGATTTGACCTCAGCCAGGGCTTTTTCCAATAACCGAACAGCCAGGGCTTTTTCCAATAACCGAACATTAGAGATTATTCTTCTGCCACATGCAGTGAGAAGTCAATTTTTTACTCAAAACTTTATGGTATGAACATAGTTTGCAAGTGTGGGTGCCCTGCTTTGAAAAGGCTTTTGCAAAGATTGGTGTTAGATTTTTGTAAAATATGGTTGTATCACTGTCAGAGGCATGGGTACTTTGCAAAATCATTCCTCATCATTTCTTAAAGGGTTCGAGATCATCTTAAGGTTATTCTGATTCACTGCCAGTTACTGTTGCACAACCCAAAGACATTGTAATTGTTAGATCTTAGCAAGTTGCTTTGAACAGTATTCTGGATATGTCACGGCATGTCAGCTTGATGTCTCCCAACATTTGCCACTTTGGTGAAACCCACGAGCATGGTGCTGACAAATCTAGAGACTAGACTCTTCTTAATTAGATCTTAATGTGTCTGGATTGGTTTAACTCCGCACTCAGCAATATACCAGCTACGTTACCGCGGTCTGTAAATAATCAAGTCTGGTCCAGACAATCACGTGATTAAAAGGAGCATCGATCCACACAATTGGGGTTCGATGACATGTATCAAGCAAGTCTGCGAGCCTGACCATCGGATCCCGTTAGTCGCATCTTACAGCAAGCATGGGTTGCTGAAGACCTATTCTAACCCAGATCTTGACAGATTGGTTTTATTTGTAATTAGGTCACTGACCCATATGTTGGTCATACAATGCAAAGGCAGTTTTTCACATATATCACATATTTTTTTTACAAAGTCAGATCTTTTTTTAAATTATATAATAAAATATTGAAGTTGTTTGTTGAAATAATCCTGTGATGAACACAGCAAAATGTATTCAGAAATGTCCAATAGAATTCTTGTTCATAAGATTTATATATTTCATTAGGATATCTGCAAATACGAAAGGATATTCATCTTGAACTGATATAATTACCAACAGGACAAATGTGTAAAAATTCAATCCACGCAATTGGGATCGATGACATGCATCAACCAAGTCGGCGAGTCTGACCACCCGATCCCGTTAGTAGCCTTTTACGGCAAGCATGGTAGTAAAGTAGTGGGTCCATAAATAACAAAGCCAGTTTTTGTGATAAGGGATTTTCACTTTATTGTTTTCTTTCAAAAATAAGAAGTTGTACCTATCACATGTAAGTTTCACGCAGACACTAGGAAGAAAAATTGAGATAAGAAAAAATATCTGTAAAGGTTATATTGGCAATTGTGCTCCAAGTAATATTTGATTTATACACATACTTTCCTGGTCAGGATAAGTAAAATAACACGTTACTCTTACATTATTTATGCTCTGGATGTGACGAATACAGATATGCACTCCCCACCAGAGTTTAGCTGCAGACATTTTCCAAAACACTGCAAAAAAAAAATTACCCTAGTTGTGAGGAGAATTGTGTTGAACAGATTTGTCTGACAGACACGATGTACAATGAGACTTCAAATTCCTGAGGAAGCGAATAGTCCCTTGTCCACTCATCCCTCTGAAATCAATTCAATGGAGGCACAGCAATTGGAATGTAAGAAGTCCTCAAAGGGAGACAACTCTTTTTGGCTAACATTTCCTAAAATCACAACATTTATCCTCATGGTTTCTAGAATCTTAGCCAAGAAAGTTGTTTCTCCCCAATTTTGGAAGATTAAGTCACAGAGTGTTGGTAATACATTCGTTGGTAGGTAGATAGTTACTAGAATTTCACAGCAATAACAAAAAAAACATTCACAAAAAGAAACAAGTGTCCAAAATTTGGGATGGTGTGTGTGTGTGTGTGGGGGGGGAGAACCTCGTAAGTGTGAACAAGTACATATTTTTCATTTTGTTGATTGTATCTTGTGAACATCGACATGGAGTTTCATCAAGCATATGAAACAATATGTGTCCGCTAAAAGAATATAAAAATATAAAAGACATTAGAAAAAGTTGATATGAAATGTTACAGTGTGACGATGAAGAGCTGACTAAAGTGAGTTGCCAGTATAACATTTGTCCATGTTCGGGGCCAATGGTGCACACCTGGGGCCCAAAGCATGGACAAATAAGATCTGTACACCACCATCTACAGTGAAAGATGTATACTGTAAGGCACACAAACACGAAGAAGTTTGAAGCTATTTTTCTGAAGTAAAATACCATTTTCTTTAGCAGGGCCTAAAATTATAAGACCTAAACCTGCATTTTATAATTTCTCTAGGAGTGTATGAGATTTCTTTTCATTACAATTTTTTTTAAATCTCTAGTACCATTACCTAAAGGTTGGTAAATATTAAATTTAAACACTGTTTGCTTTGAAATTATTAGAAAAGATCTCTCTTTAAGAGTAATAAGTTGTACATGATTTCAAAAATATTGCAGGAGGGGATGATTTCTAACATATCTAAAGCTGGTGAAAAGTCCTAATGTGAAGCCGTTTAACACAGAACATTTTGACATGGGCAGTATAAAATACAACATTTGCAGACAATATGGAAGCAGAGGAAACACTAGTTACCATGGGAACACTGATGCATCATGGATGTGTCACAAGGTGATATCACAGAAGAGATAATCTTCGTCACCACGGACAACATGTTCCTGCATCTTCTTCAGTCTCCAGGAAGCAGCCAAGGAAAAACTACACCCCATAAAAGAGCTATTTGACCCTGAACTCCCAAATAACTGACACAACAGTTTTCAGAATGAGTTCACTTCAAGCCACACCTCTACAGGAAAATCCCCACTATGACAATGTTAGAATTTTAGTATGTTAACTCTACCTTGTGCCACGGGGTTAGTCCCCACTGCAGCTTCCTGGGACTGTGAGCGGAATGCTAGGACCAGTTTGTCCTTGGTGCCAAGGACAAGAAGAGTGTTGATTCTCAAGGATCAAGAAGACAGTATCACTTAGGGAAACCTTGATCGGAAATTGAAATTCATTCAATAGCCTAACCCATCTTTTGATTATTTTGCTAAATTATTTTTTATCACTAGGCAAAGGCATAAAAATGCAATTTCAGGTTCTATAAATTATACACATGTATAAAGAAGCAATCGTTCAGTCAGTGAGCGAAAGGCTTCAAATACTTCTATCATGGTTGATGTTGATGGTCTTCAGTCACTGGTAGACTGTACAGACAAACTGGCAGGAGACACGGGATATGGTAGTTAAGGAAATTCCGTTATCAAAATATGTGAGGCACTTGAGAGCAGGGCACTTGAAATGTCCAAAACAATATTTCTTATCCTTGGCCTCGACAAAACATTTGTAGCACTACAAATGTCGTATCTCCATAGTTCCACTTCTGATTCTCGTAGCGCTACAAACACTTGTGGGTGGTGGGCCCTGTCCCTGATGGAATAATTTACTGTGGCAAAAATCAAAACATCTCCATAATCTTTAAAAAACTCAACACTTCAAGCAGTGAGAATATTAGGCATAAATCTGGGTTTAAATCTTCACACAAAAGTCAATTCCTAGCAAGCTTCTGCAATACTGCCTCCTCAAGTAGATCAAGTTCAACAGATTCAGATTCAAGCCATGCAAAAATAGAATTCTATACGTCAGAAAATATATACATGTGATGCCCATTATGGGCTATAGTGAACAAAATGCCAGTTCACCAAACAAAACCGTTTCGATAAAGTGTCAAATCATTTCTTATCGAGACACTGACATAGTAACAGGGCCTTTCGGTACCAGATGATAATTGTTTATCTTACTGTCAGTATCTTTCACAGTGATAGTAAAAATACTTTCAATGCATTATTGACAATTTACCGAGACAGCTCTGGAAAATAAACTGGTTTGTAATAAATAAACGTGCCATTTGAATCCTTGCTTTCCTCTGTCCCATCAAACATTGTCTTCACATCGAATCCTGACTACTGGCTGAAGTTGAATGATGTTTTCATAGTAAATATTCATATTGTTTTAATTGTTCACCAAATCCCCCAAAATACTTAAACACAGCAAGGTCTATAAATCAATGTACTGGATCCCTCGAGATCACTGATGTAATGCCCTGATGTAAAAATTTGCTCTTTGTGTTGGCAAGCAAAATTATGACATTTTTTATCCAGATACAGTTCTTAGAAAAAATAATTTTTTGATGTTAAACAATTTATCAATTATGCGATAAAAATGTCAATATTCAGTTTCATTAAAAAAAATGTCTGTGAAAACATGATAAGAGTTATGTCCCTTGACCTGCAATTACTTGAGTTCTGGCCCCTCCAAACAGAGAATCTTAATTGTAATAACTGCCTAATAGTATTCTCTGACAAGAAGATGGTGCTATTTATTTAACAAAAATATATTCAGTAAATAATATAGACATTCATGAAATCACTTTATAAAAAATAAATCTCAAAATGGTTCAAATGCTAAAACAAAAACATCATTCAACTTCATACATCACCACATCTTTTTAACTGTCGCTTGTATAAAAAACATAAGCAAGATAGTATCAAATATCGGCAATATAGAAAAGGTATGTGTTTGCACAAAAAGTCACCATTAGGATATGACGGTATTCGAAGGTACAAAATGTGGAAAATATATACAAAATTTTGAAAACGCTATCATGTGACGAGTCCTCGGAGACTCAAAGACTTGACATGAAAATGTAACAAGTACAACGGATACAGCCAATACAGGCTGTCAATACACCAACAACTGTCAACATCCAATATGGGAACTATACAACAAACATAACCACAGTCATAATTACAAAACACTATTCTATGGAGGAGGGACCCACACAGCTTGCACCGTCTTGAAAACAAGTAATAAACACGTAGTAGCCAATGTTCCACAATCCGAGTGCTCAGTCAGAAAACAACATACCTAAATCACTGTCTACATATCGAACATTCTTGCTACAAAATTGGCATATCAACATATCAACTCTAGAAAAATGGAACATGTTGAAATCTAGAACTTGAAACCGTTGAATCTAAAAACTGGAACATCTGTCTAGATAAGGGACACATCCAGTGTCAAATCTAGAAATCCCATGTAGAGCCTAGGACATCTTGTGGTACATAAAAGGATTTGTTGCATTGTGAAAAAAACGCCACAAAAAAGAAAACTAGTAAAGAATGCTATCTCGGCCACGTGGGTAGTCGAGGCCTGCCCTAGGGGATGCACGAGAACATGACAGCACCTCCCGGCACTGGGGACTCCATTCTCAGTAAACATTTGGATAAGGAGAATTTTGTAAGGTTGAAACGATCCACTGAGATACTAATTTTACAGTATGGACTACACAAAACACCCGGTTTTTTTACGTTGCTCTTTTTCCGTCATGGTATACAATATGCTTCTCTGTGCAAATATGTATCATTTGATATTGACATTGGGGCATCTTTAAATTGGTACTGATCAACACTTCAGCTCTAGCATGTGACTATTCGATTTGATCGTGTATTCATTTAAAATAACAATAACTTTGGATTATACAAAGAATTTATCTGTGATTTCAGTGTATCGTTTCAGCATCAGAATTATGGCAGAAAAATTAACAAGGTCAGATATTATAACAAATAAATCTGACCATTCTTGATTGACACTAAAATTTGTCAGTGTTTGAATTTTCAATGTTCCTATTCTATTCTACATAACCTGTGTTTTTCAAATCTTTTAAAACCACTGTCAACTGAGCTTATAAACTGGAGGCAACAATGTCCAACTGAGTGATTCGTTTGTGTGTTGTTTAAAGCCGCACTCAGCAATATTCCAGCTATATGACGACGGTTGTAACTAATCGAGTCTGGACCAGACAATCCAGTGAGTGACAGCATGAGCATAGATCCACACAATTGGGATACGATGACATGCATCAACCAAGTCAGCGACCCTGACCACCCGATCCTGTTAGTCGCCTCTTACGACAAGCATAGTCACCTTTTACGGCAAGCATGGGTTACTGAAGACCTGTTCTTCCCCCGATCTTCACGGGTCCCAACTGAATGAGACAATGAATGAGACAATGATTATCATTGATGACTACAATGCTGGTTACTACATGTGAGTCACACCAGCCAGGAACACATCCATCCCAGGGCCTCGTTCCATACAGCGATCTTAGCGCTAAGACGATCACAACTCCCACACCTGAACACAAGCATATACTCGTTGGAGCTGTGTCTCACAATCTGCACAGCGATCTTAGCGCTAAGACGATCACAACTCCCACACCTGAACACAAGCATATACTCGTTGGAGCTGTGTCTCACAATCTGCACAGCGATCTTAGCGCTAAGACGATTGCAACTCTCATACCTTGAAAAAGACATACAATAATCATAGTACTAAGACGATCGTAACACCAATACCTCAACATAAATGTATGATCATCATAGCGCTAAGACCAAAAAACGAACATACCTTAATATAGACATACGATCTTTGAGGTACTCAGATCATTTATGGAATAAGGTCGAAGGCCCTGTTCCCCAAAGAGATCTTAGCACTAGTTACGACTGTCTTAGCGCTAAGATCAATTTGTAGAACAGGGCCCTGCAATGGCTCTTTGGTCATACAGAGACTTTAATACAGACCTGCTGTACAATACGAAATTCTGGCTATACCTAAACAATGCAAAATATACAAAATAGGAATGAAAGATACATTCAATACTATCTTACAAATATAAGATGAATATTCCTGTTTGAAACCATTTGTATCTTGGCAGAATAAATAAGTTAAAGCCATTTAGAACATATAGAAAGTGACACATTTTTCACACTCACCAAAATTCTCTGCAACAAATATTTGAACTTAAACATGACACTTCCAGTAACATGCTTCTCATTAATACAAAACATAAACTAATGCCTCAAATGTAGATCTAAAAACATAATGGTCTTTTGGACATTTCTTGTGTGAAAATGATAAATTACACATAAATATGTAAATAAATACTGGACAGGCATGGTATGTATTTGATTACGGTAATATATTGTCATTGAGGAGCAGGCTAGCTGCAAGTTGTATAACCGTCTAAAAAACATTTTTATATGGCCCTATTATGAAGGGTTTGTGAAAGCGATGATGCAGGGAGGTAAAAAAGTTGGGAATATTCCGGACAATATTCCCTCAATAACACAAGTATGAGCATGAACAAAATTAAAACAGCACTATGTTCAGATTTATCTTGCCTTGTCAATACAGCAAAACATGAGGGACTTTGCTTAATACGCTGAAAGAATTTCCAGCTTAGTACAAAGATGCCAATTTTATGAAAAAGATTAGTTCCACGACAGAGTAACTCTTTCAGGCCAGCTGAGCTCCATTAAAATCAAGAATAGACCCTTTTTCAAATGTTCAGCATCTCTGTAACTACAAATTGCAAAATTAAATGAACCTTTTCAACTTACAAAAGTAATAATTTAATATTCAAGAGCACTGTTTAACCTTCCCATGTGTGAGAAACATTTCCCAGCCCAAACTCCTTTGTTCCATGATAAGCAAATGACCGAGCCATATTAACAAAGGATGATCAAAAACCTGGATAATATACACGCTCTTGAGGTTGTATCTATAAGCTTTCACCTTACACAAACGAAACAATAATAAATGTCGGAAGTGTTCATAGAAATAAAGTGCTGAAACAGCCGTGGTCCCAGGGATTATCACATAACAATATCATACAACATCGTGCATGCCAACGGTCGACGCTGTCTGATGACGTCACCACACCCTGTCATCCAGACAGTCCATGTCATCAGGTGCTGATGCTGATGGTGCTGATGGAGCACTCTAAACATTGCAGTCTGTCCGATAGAGCAGCTTCAGCAGCGACGTTAGTGTCAGTAGGACATCGCAGCATCGGCAGCAACGGCAGCTAAATGTCAGGAGCTGGCCTTCTCGGCTCGTTCCAGCGCCAGCTCCCTGTTCAGCAGCTCCTTGATGCCCTGCTGGATTCTCTTCAAGTGTCCCACCTTCGTCACCCCGAGGTCCTGGCCACACACAGTCACAGGGTTAATAATGGTCGCTTCTTTGTGTTTTGTTTGTTGTTTAACGCCGCACTCAGCAATATTCCAGCTATATGACGGCGGTCCAGACCAGACAATCCAGTGATTGACATCATGAGTATCGATCCACACAAGAGGGATACTATGACATGCATCAACCAAGTCAGCAAGCCAACCACCCGATCTCATTTGTTGCCTTTTACGGCAAGCATGGGATACTGAAGGCCTATTCTACCCTGGATCTTCAAGGGTCTGACGGTTTGTGTTCAGAGTAAGTAACTATTTCTCAAATGGGTATTTCTGAAACCTCTATTATTTAATCTAACTGTCATAATGAATTTTTTTTTTTTAAATAGGGATATTAGTGTGCATATTATTTTACTTAGCACAAATGTCGCCCACCTCGCCTACTTCACACATTATTACTTAGGCACATAGGAAACTTAGGAAACTATGGTGTGGTGTGGTGTGGTGTGGTGTGGTGTGTGGTGTGTGGTGTGTGGTGTGGTGTGGTGTGATGTGGTGTGGTGTGGTGTGGTGTGTGGTGTGTGGTGTGGTGTGGTGTGGTGTGGTGTGGTGCTTATCTACAAGACATCTTCTGTGTGTAGTGTGACGTGGCGTGGCGTGGCGTGGCGTGGCGTGGCGTGGCGTCGCATGCCATGTGTGGTGCCTTCCAATAGCTCCAATATGGCTAATGGAACAACATTCACTCACTCATTCCTTCAAACTATAGTCAACCGCCCACCCACTCACTCACTGACCCACCCACCCTCACACTCACTCACTGACCCACCAACCCGCCCACCCACTCACTCACTGAAACTCACTCACTCACTGACCCACCCAGCCGCCCACTCACTGACCCACCCACCTGCCCACTCACTCACTCACTGACCCACCCACCCCCCTACTCACTCACTCACTGACCCATCCACCCGCCCACTCACTCACTCACTGATCCACCCACCCGCCCACTCACTCACTCACTTATCCACCCACCCGCCCACTCACTCACTCACTGACCCACCCACCCACCCACTCACTCACTGACCCACCTGCCCACTCACTCACTCATTCACTGACCCACCTGCCCACCCACTAACACACACATACCCACCTGCCCGCCCACTCACTGACTGACCCACCCACCCACTCACTCACTGACCCACCTGCCCACTCACTCACTCATTCACTGACCCACCTGCCCACCCACTTACACACACATACCCACCTGCCCGCCCACTCACTGACCCACCTGCCCACCAACTAACACACACACTGACCCACCTGCCGGCCCACTAACACACTCACTGACCCACCTGCCCAACCACAAACACACACACTGACCAACCTGCCCACCCACTTACACACACACATACCCACCTGCCCCCCCACTCACTGACCCACCTGCCCACCCACTAACACACACACTGACCCACCTGCCCACCCACTAACACACACACTGACCCACCTGCCCACCCACTAACACACACACTGACCCTACTGCCCGCCCACTCACTCGCCCACTCACTGACCCACCTGCCCACCAACTAACACACACACTGACCCACCTGCCCACCCACTCACTGACCCACCTGCCCACCAACTCACTGACCCACCTGCCTGCCCACTCACTGACCCACCTGTCCACCCACTAACACACACACTGACCCACCTGCCCACCCACTAACACACACACTGACCAACCTGCCCACCCACTAACACAAACACTGACCCACCTGCCCACCCACTAACACACACACTGACCCACCTGCCCGCCCACTCACTGACCCACCTGCCCACCCACTAACACAAACACTGACCCACCTGCCCACCCACTAACACACACACTGACCCACCTGCCCGCCCACTCACTGACCCACCTGCCCACCCACTAACACACACACTGACCCACCTGCCCACCCACTAACACACACACTGACCCACCTGCCCGCCCACTCACTGACCCACCTGCCCACCCACTAACACACACACTGACCCACCTGCCCACCCACTCACTGACCCACCTGCCCACCCACTAACACACACACTGACCCACCTGCCCACCCACTCACTGACCCACCTGCCCACCAACTCACTGACCCACCTGCCCGCCCACTCACTGACCCACCTGCCCACCCACTAACACACACACTGACCCACCTGCCAACCCACTAACACACACACTGACCCACCTGCCCACCCACTAACACACACACTGACCCACCTGCCCGCCAACTCACTGACCCACCTGCCCACCCACTAACACACACACTGACCCACCTGCCCACCCACTAACACACACACTGACCCACACACCTGACACAGTCATTATTGCCGGAAGGCGAGGATTATTGCTCACAATGTTAATCACAGTATTATTATTATATACAGGCCACTGGAATGGTTTTAAACCATTGGGTTTAAACACTCGCTCACTCAGTCACTCCCCCTAGCAAGCTTTTCTGCAGCTCTTAGCAATATTGCAGCAATATCCGAGTGGAAGACACCAGAAATGTGAAGACATAATGTACCTATGCCAAGAAGCAAACACGCTGGGATTTGCCGCGATGAGTGAACTCATTAACGACCCAGCAGCCCCAGCTTGTGATGGAATACACATGGAGGTATGATGTCTCAACATGGTACTGACCTTGAGATCTCTGCGCTCCAAGTTGAGGAGCTCTGACCCGCGGATCTCGTGGCTGATGAAGGCCTCGCGGTAGTCCCCTAGTGAGAGTTTCTCCAGCCAGACACCAACTTCCTCGGGGGTCCAGCCTCGAACTTCAAACCCTGTGGAAAAATACACACCATAAGGCCACAATAAAAGAATTTCATCCTTATCTACGTCACCACCAAACGCCTAACATCCACACATGATCCCCACACCCACCTAACATCATCACATGGTTCCCACACCCGCCTAGCATCATCACATGGTTCCCACACCTACGTAACATCATCACACCCACCTAACATCATCACATGGTTCCCACACCCGCCTAGCATCATCACATGGTTCCCACACCCGCCTAACATCATTACATGGTTCCCACACCTGCCTAACATCATCACATGGTCCCCACACCCGCCTAACATCATCATATGGTTCCCACACCTGCCTAACATCATCACATGGTCCCCACACCCGCCTAACATCATCACATGGTTCCCACACCTGCCTAACATCATCACATGGTCCCCACACCTGCCTAACATCATCACATGGTCCCCACACCCACCTAACATCATCACATGGTTCCCACACCCGCCTAACATCATCATATGGTTCCCACACCTGCCTAACATCATCACATGGTCCCCACACCCACCTAACATCATCACATGGTTCCCACACCTGCCTAACATCATCATATGGTTCCCACACCTGCCTAACATCATCACATGGTCCCCACACCCACCTAACATTATCACATGGTTCCCACACCTGCCTAACATCATCACATGGTTCCCACACCTGCCTAACATCATCACATGGTTCCCACACCCGCCTAACATCATCATATGGTTCCCACACCTGCCTAACATCATTACATGGTTAACACACCTGCCTAACATCATTACATGATCCCAACACCTGCCTAACATCATCACATGGTTCCCACACCCACGTAACATCATTACATGATCCCAACACCTGCCTAACATCATCATATGGTTCCCACACCTGCCTAACATCATTACATGGTTCCCACACCTTCCTAACATTATCACATGGTTCCCACACCTGCCTAACATCATCACATGGTTCCCACACCTGCCTAACATCATTACATGGTTCCCACACCTGCCTAACATCATCATATGGTTCCCACACCTGCCTAACATCATTACATGGTTCCCACACCTGCCTAACATCATCATATGGTTCCCACACCTTCCTAACATTATCACATGGTTCCCACACCTGCCTAACATCATCACATGGTTCCCACACCTGCCTAACATCATTACATGGTTCCCACACCTGCCTAACATCATCATATGGTTCCCACACCTGCCTAACATCATTACATGGTTCCCACACCTGCCTAACATCATCATATGGTTCCCACACCTGCCTAACATCATTACATGGTTCCCACACCTGCCTAACATCATCACATGGTTCCCACACCTGCCTAACATCATTACATGGTTCCCAACACCTGCCTAACATCATCATATGGTTCCCACACCTGCCTAACATCATTACATGGTTCCCACACCTGCCTAACATCATCATATGGTTCCCACACCTGCCTAACATCATCACATGGTTCCCACACCTGCCTAACATCATTGCATGGTTCCCACACCTGCCTAACATCATTGCATGGTTCCCACACCTGCCTAACATCATCACATGGTAGCCACACCCACCTCACATCATTAAATGGGCCGCAGGAGCTGTATTATAATAATACTTGTTAAAACTAACCTGAATGCAGACAAAACGTCCATAATATGTATCTTGACAACCATACATGTAACACATTATTTTCACATGGATTTGAGTTAAATCAGTCATTTGGAGACAATATCACTTTTATCAGATCATCTAAAACCTCAGTTTGTAAAATGTACAGAGAAATGTAAATTGTATAGAAATATACTTATCCTATCTCACACTACGCATTGAAAACAATTCACCCGAACACATCCAAGCATCACCACGGACAGCACCCAAACAAATTGGTCAAGCACTGTAATCCAGTAGCTAGCAACCCACACAACATGATCCCATGACTACCCCTGACACACCGGAAGGGTCTCCAGGAAGGGTCTCCAGGAAGGGTCTTCAGGCAATCAGATCTTCAAGACAAACCACACCACTATCTCTGACGGACAATAGGGTGAACCAGCTCAGTATCTCTATTAATGCTTCGTCAAAGCTATCAATCACGCCCGAGGGATTGATACATGCTAAGACGCAAAGAGGAACGATCGACCAGATACACAAGAGGATCTACGACCCAAGACTGACACATCACAGGTACAAAGCAAAGGCCCAGATTATCTCTCAGCCACCGTAGGATCTTCAGTCTGGTTGTAGTGGCGATGACGGAGTTGATCATAGCGAGATAAGTAGCCAAAGTGGGCCCTCTAAGCTTCCGACAAAATCTCAAATGTAGGAGATATTCGGCGACCTGTTGAGCAGTGGTCAGCTTTGTTAGATAGTAGGCTTTGAACGCTTTCCATTGGTGGTCGTAAAGGGTCTTGGTAGAGCTACGGTGAGCCTCAGTGATGGTCTTGGTAGAGCTACGGTGAGCCTCAGTGATGGTCTTGGTAGAGCTACGGTGAGCCTCAGTGATGGTCTTGGTAGAGCTATGGTGAGCCTCAGTGATGGTCTTGGTAGAGCTACGGTGAGCCTCAGTGATGGTCTTGGTAGAGCTACGGTGAGCCTCAGTGATGGTCTTGGTAGACCTACGGTGAGCCTCAGTGATGGTTTTGGCTACTCCCTTCCAATACCCTTTGGCAACAAGCGACTTCCAGAGATGAGCCAGACGCAAAGATGGAGGGTTTCGGGCGACGGGTATAGCAGGTGGGAGTAAGGCAGGAGTATGGTTTGATGATGAAATGGAGGCGGGGACAGCCGGGTTGGCTTCCCTCTTAGGCTTCTTTGCAGAGGACGGCACATGTTCCATGTCTTTGGACTTCGACTGCCGGTCAAGGCTTGTTGCATTTGTCTAGGTAGGTGGTAAAGGATTTATCCGTGAGATGGTAACACTGAGAACTGAGTTCGTGAGGATTCGAAGTGGAAAGAGTTTGTCTGCACTTGAGAGATGCCGGGAGATTTTCTTGTTTGGTATTTTGTTCAAGCGCGTTTCCACAGAAGGATAAAAAATGGAAGGAAGAATTGCATTGTGTGAGATGGGATAAGTTCAAAAATTGTAAAAATTCCTGAACCTGAAAGATTTTTTTATCCTTGTCAATGAAATTGTTTTCACATTAAGATGCTATATTTAACCTCTCGGAAGTAACAAAAATAGATGATAGGAATTGAAGAGTTTTTACACATTGGTCCTGTTGGTAATTATATCAGTTCAAGATGAATATCCTTTTGTATTTGCAGATATCCTAATGAAATATATAAATCTTATGAACAAGAATTCTATTGGACATTTCTGAATACATTTTGCTGTGTTCATCTCAGGATTATTTCAAACAACTTCAATATTTTGTATTTAATTTAAAAAAAGATCAGACTTTGTAAAATAAATATGGGATATATGTCAAACCGCCTTTGCATTGTATGACCAACATATGGGTCAGTGACCTAATTACAAATAAAACCATCCTGTGAAGATCCGGGTCAAAATAGGTCTTCAGCAACCTGTGCTTGCCGTAAAAGGCGATTAACGGGATCGGATGGTCAGGCTCGCGGACTTGCTCGACACATGTCATCGAACCCCAATTGTGTGGATCGATGCTGATGATGTCAATCACTGGATTGTCTGGTCCAGACTTGAATATTTACAGACCCCTGTCATATTGCTGAGTGCAGCGTTAAACACCAAACAAACAAACAAACAACAAACAACAAACAACAAACAAAACAACAAATAAACAATTTTGACTTTGACTTGCCGCCACCAAACACCCACCTCCAGGTACTACAGACTAGGGACATGACTGTAAATACTGCTGAAAACAAGCTAAATAAAACCTGATTCTCTCATATAACTGTAGACAATCGGTCTTGCCATGACCATGTTCTTTAACTTTGTTTGCCCTTGATTCCTACTTGATGAGGAAAATAAACCCAATACCTCCCAACTGACATTTAGAAGAAAAAAATTGTCACAGTCATCAAAATTATCACAATCATCACAACATATCACAATGTTCTATGGTTTTGATATTGAAGGATGCAAAATTGTGCATTTCACGGATGAATGGGTACCCAGTAGGATGGGTACCAGGCAGGATGTGTCATGTTTCGGAAACAACTCCACTCTCTTCAATCATCCGGTGTATAATATCTCCAGTGTATCAGCAGTGTTGAAAGTAAGGGGGCCCTGGGGTCCTTGTGTTTGCTGATTCAGTATTTGAATCTGGGGACCAGCTAAAACTTTCACTCAAACATTAGGACAAGGGCCCTTTCAATGTCATGCTTAAAGGGCAGGTAAACTATTTTTGTAAAAGCAATTTTCTTTGATACATTTAATCAATTTCCATGAGAGAGAAAATGTCCAAACACTGTAATCGGCTTCCTAAAAAAACCTATTGGTACGTAGCCTAAAGCTACACACAACGGTGATCAATGATTTCATTGGCTGGTATGTTTGTGTGTTTATCTGTCTTGTGATTCTTAGCTGTTATACATATACCGTTTCTGCTATTTCTGTTAATCCTACGAAAATAACAATATTGCATCCATTGTTGAATGTGTGAAACCACCTTTGACCTTGACATTGTGAATAATTATAATAACAATTAAAAATCAGTAACTAGCGTTTTATTACTAACATCCTGTTTGGGTAATACAACACCAGCTGCCCTCAGCCCTATCACACAATAAATGCCTGTCACAAGTTGTGACCACGGTAATCTAAAGGATGAGCAGACAGAAAAGAAAAAAACCCAAGGTAGAAGCAGGCAGACTGGGCATCGGCCCAATTGTTATAATCGTCATGATTGTTGACATTGCGCAGCACGTCAAACACCGGGAACACGTTATAACCCTACTAATTATAAGCGGAAATCCCTCAGCGGTGGAATCTTTTCGTTTGGGGGACGATTTGCCTGTCATTTTTTATAGTCTGTTTTACACTATTTCCCCTTTACAAACTCAATTTTGGCCAAGTTAGTGATAAAGTAAGCCCGAAAGTATCAAAATCTGCAAAGTTGCTACAGTGACTTTACTTGCCCTTTAAATTCAAAAACAACCATAGCTTTGATTGAGAAGCACCATCACAACATCAATTCATCTAACCAGTAACTTCACACTCAACTGCTCTCACACATGGGTAATTGGAATGGAAGGCTGTTTTGAAACATCCACACTACTACCACAATATCCATACAAAAATCACATTTCATGCCAATGACCTCGGAATTGACACTGACACAAGGGAGACAACTCTCACCTGGAGGGAGACTACTCCGGCCTCCTTTCTCCTTCTCCTTCCCCTTTCCCTTCAACTTGCTGTACACCTTGCTGAACTTGCCACCATGTTTGTGGCGCTTATGTTGTTCTATCATCTGCACCTATAAGCAATGTAGCTATGGTTACGGCCTCCCAGTCTTATTTCCGTGTTTCACACACCAAGTAATATGAAACACAAAAATAACGCTGCCAACCTCACTAACAGTCTGGCCCATTGTTTGTAGGGACTCTTTCCACTAATTGTTTGAAAAAGCCAGGCTTCTTTGAACTCTTATCTGCTGAATATTTTCTATTTATCATGAGAGATTTGACGAATAAATAGATAAAAGAAACTGTTCTAAAATTCTCATTTCTTAAGAAATATTTCGTAAATAACACAAGAGAAATATTACAATGAACACCTGATACAACAACTTTGTGTCAATTCAAGTTTGCTACTTAACTCTAACTAGAGAACTGCCTAGTATTTTTGCAATCACATCACCCCTTTTCTCTACGAAGTGATCACATGTTAACAATAACACCTAATATTTCAGCCTAATAAAGCATCCTACATAAACCAGAAATGAGTTTGGACTTTGGATAGTATACATAAATTTCAACTGAGATAGAAATTTGTCCCAAAATCAAGTCTGGTTAAAAAATCTACAAGAACTACATTTTGTGTAAGGAGGAACTACTTTCGGTGTACTTACTTCCTCTGGTGTCTGTGTGTACTGGCCCACACCGCTGATGTTGGCCACCTTCCTCATCTCTTCCTCAAGGGTCGCCAGGCACATGCTCAGCTTCTCCTCGATGTCGTGCCACAGGTGCTGCAACAACATCGCACATGCTTGGCTCAGTAACATCGCACACGCTTGGGTCAGCAACAACATCGCACACGCTTGGCTCAGTAACATCGCACACGCTTGGCTCAGTAACATCGCACACGCTTGGGTCAGCAACAACATTGCACATGCTGGGCTCAGTAACATCGTACACGAGCTTTGCGACATTGTGTTAATTTGTCATGACTTCATATTAATAATTATTTATTCATGAAATACCAACCAATATGAGTGAATGAGTGAGTTGGTTTTAATGGCACTTCAATTATATCACTGAGTATCAGCTTAATGTGGGAGGAAAGCCCAAAGTGATGCAGGTCTCAGACGTTTACCACTTCGGTGAAACCCACGAGCACGGGTATGGTGCTGACAAACCTAGAAACATAATCGGGGCGAACCAGGGTTGGAACTCATGGTCACTGGCGCATCCTAGGGATGGAAATCTGCAGTTTTCAAATCAAAGTAACCACCTCTGATTGAAACAGTTGATTTCACAGCCATATCACCGTGGAAGCTAACATAAAGAGAAACATACTTCTCTCTCATCTTTCTCAATCATTGTTGGTAGGCGTTTAAAAATATTGATATGTACAACGGTATTTTATATAATGCAGTGTTGCAGTTACTACATTATTCCTAATATGGGTGGGGATATGTCTTGGGCAGTTAAAACAATTGTGCCCCTTTTTTCAATGCCTCTGATATATGCAAACAAAGTATATTGATGTAATACGCGCAATGTTTGAGCGTAAACACCAACATACTTTTTGAATGGACTATAATTCGAAATTGCAACCCAATTAACACACTGGACTCAACCCATGCCGCTTCACTCAACATCTTCACAAACATCAAAGAATTTGCATATCATTTTGTCACTGTAGATTAACACAAACATACTGTATTTTCAATGTTGTGCAATATTATCTGTATGCGTTTTAATACCAAATTCAACTTAGTGCCATCAAATCTACAAGAATTTGTGCCTTGTTTGGATTTTTTGGTGAAACTTCTGAACATATTTCAATCTTTGATAGAATCAGCCAAATATATGGATACCAAATACTTCCGCCACTTGCACAAGATTTATAGTGAGTGAGTGAGTTTTAATGCCACTTTGAACAGTATTTCAGTTAAAACACAGCTGAATGTGGGAGGAAAGCCCAAAGTGATGCATTCATAGAAGTTTAGCATTTGGGTGAAACCCACGAGCAGAAGTATGGTGCTGACAAACCTAGAAACACAATCAGGGCAAACAAGGATTTGAACCCATGAACCCATTCTGCAGAGTAAAAGAGGGACATATAGAAACATGAATGAGGGTGTGAGAGTGTCTGTCAATAGAGAGGAGAGAGAGGGTGTTGAGAGAGGGTGTGAGAGTGTCTGTCAATAGAGAGGAGAGAGAGTGTGTTGAGAGAGGGTGTGATAGTGTCTGTCAATAGAGAGGAGAGAGAGGGTGTTGAGAGAGGGTGTGAGAGTGTCAACAGAGAGGAGAGATGTGTAGAGAGATGTGTAGAGAGGGGGAGAGAGGGGGAGAGAGTGTGTAGAGAGAGGAGAGAGAAGTGTTGAGAGAGGGTGTGAGAGTGTGTTTTGATGAAATCAGTGCTTACAACATTGGACATGGCTGGTGCCTTGTCAGAGAGGAAGAGGCTTGCTTCGTTGTAGAGGAGTTTCACACTGTGTAGCAGGTCGGACACTTGACTCCGCAGTGTGGGCTGAAACAACAAGAGTCATCATCATCCATACACACAAACTCATGGACACAAACATATGGATGTCTCCCTAGCAGGTGAGAACCAGTCTCAGTGTCAGCCATGACACTACTGCAGCCTGATTATGATCAATGTAGAGAAGTCACACTGTAGCTGATAGTGTGTGTTCCGTCAACTCAGGTCCAAATCTACATCAATGCAGTCAGCACTACAGTCAGCTTTTAGCTGTCATGGCAACTGCTTCATTACAGTAGATGTGTTTTAATCTGGCACCAACATACCATAGTCGAGTGTTATTTGTCATCCTCAGTACCCCATGTTTGTCATGAAGGCAGATTAGGACTAGATGACTGATTGTGATAGAACATTGACCCATGCTGCCCTGGAATCTCCACAGGGACACAAACATGGGGTACTGGGGGCCAATGCTGCCCTGGAATCTCCACAGGGAGACACACATGGGGTACTGGGGGCCAATGCTGCCCTGGAATCTCCACAGGGAGACACACATGGGGTACTGGGGGCCAATGCTGCCCTGGAATCTCCACAGGGACACAGACATGGGGTACTGGGGGCCAATGCTGCCCTGGAATCTCCACATGGAGACACACATGGGGTACTGGGGGCCAATGCTGCCCTGGAATCTCCACAGGGACACAAACATGGGGTACTGGGGGCCAATGCTGCCCTGGAATCTCCACAGGGAGACACACATGGGGTACTGGGGGCCGATGCTGCCCTGGAATCTCCACAGGGACACACACATGGGGTACTGGGGGCCAATGCTGCCCGGGAATCTCCACAGGGAGACACACATGGGGTACTGGGGGCCAATGCTGCCCTGGAATCTCCACAGGGACACAGACATGGGGTACTGGGGGCCAATGCTGCCCTGGAATCTCCACAGGGAGACAGACATGGGGTACTGGGGGCCAATGCTGCCCGGGAATCTCAACAGTTGAGGTGGTACCCTTGAACATCCATTTTACAAAATAGAATTTATTTTTCAGTCATCGAAGATCATTGAGTTTTATGTGAGTCATCTTGTCACCATTTACAACATGTTTTTGCTGTGGACCACTTCCATCCCCAATTACACACAGGGGTAGAGGAGATTGTTTAATATGTTTTCAAAGCGTTGATCTTACAAATCATGCTATATTATTTCAATCATTCAATACATTATTAATGCCGTGCCACGTAAACATTCTCCTTATCACAAAGACAAACGTCAACTAGTCATGACATTCTTGTTAAGTATAATAACAACTGAAATGCAACAACATGCATCTCAGAATGGGAATGTACTGTTAGGAAATAATCACATCTCAAGTGTTAATTTAATTTAAAAAAGGACTTGCATGCACAATTATACAAAATCAAATAACAAAAGTTTAGATTTTGGGGCATTTGAAACAAGTGAACAAAAACTACAATCTATGGTGCAATTTTACAAGCAATAATAAAAAGATTAATCAACACAAAATGGATGAAATTAAAATTCCTTAAAAATTAATGACAAGGAAATGAAATGACAAACTCCACACGATAACAATACTAATAGTAACACAAACCTGGTAGGTCTCAGACTCCGAAGACTCAAGCTGATGTGGAAGAAAAATTCAAATAAGTTTTCATTTCTTTTCTTTCTCTTGGCTAATTTTGAATTTATCATAACTTTATCACTCAACTGTGGAATTTATCACACAGCTCGCTGCAAGAATAAAATAAGAAAAGGGCTTTCTTGGCCTTCTGGAACAAACTTCCTGTGACTGAAATTTAGCTTATCAACTTTCCATAAGTTGTAAGTTTTGGTTTCTTGACATGAACAGGTACAGATGCTGGGCTAAAGTGGGGTATGTATGTGTGTGTGTGTGTGTGTGTGTGTGTGTGTGTGTGTGTGTGTGGGGGGGGGGGTATGTCTGTCTGTCTGTGTATGTGTGTGTGGGTATGTCTCTGTGGGTGTATATGTGTGTGGGTATATGTTGGTATGTCTATGTGCGTGTGAGTGAGTGTGTGTATATGTGTGTGGATATGTCTCTGTGTGTGTGTGTTAGTGAATGTGCGTATATGTGTAAGTTTTGGTTTCTTGACATGAACAGGTACAGATGCTGGGCTAAAGTGTGTGAATTGTGTGTGTAAATGTGTGTGTGAGTGTGTGAGTGTGTGTGTGTGTGTGGGGGGGGGGGGGGCATGTCTGTGTATATGTGTGTGAGGTATGTCTGTGTGCGTGTGTGTATATGTGTGTGTGGGGTATGTATGTGTGTGTGTGTGTGGGGGGGTATATCTGTGTGTGTGTGTATGTGTGTGTGGGTATGTCTCTGTGGGTGTATATGTGTGTGGGGGTATATGTGGGTATGTCTATGTGCGTGTGAGTGAGTGTGTGTATATGTGTGTGGATATGTCTCTGTGTGTGTGTGTTAGTGAATGTGCGTATATGTGTGTGGAGGGGGGGTATGTCTCTGTGTGTGTGTGTGTGTGTGTTAGTGAATGTGCGTATATGTGTGTGGGTGGGGGGGTATGTCTGTGTGGGTATGTGAGTATGTGTGTGTGTGTGTGTGTGTGTGTGGATATGTCTGTGTGTGTGTGTGTGTGTGTGTGTGTGTGTGTGTGTGTGTTCTTGACATGAACAGGTACAGATGCTGGGCTAAAGTGTGTGAATTGTGTGTGTAAATGTGTGTGTGAGTGTGTGTGAGTGTGTGTGTGTGTGTGTGTGTGGGGGGGGGGGTTATGTCTGTGTGTGTGTGTGGGGGGGGGGGGGGCATGTCTGTGTATATGTGTGTGAGGTATGTCTATGTGTGTGTGTGTATATGTGTGTGAGGGGTATGTATGTGTGTGTGTGTGTGTGTGGGGGGGGGGGGTTGTCTGTGTGTGTGTGTGTGTGGGTATGTCTCTGTGAGTGTATATGTGTGTGTGGGTATATGTGGGTATGTCTATGTGCGTGTGAGTGAGTGTGTGTATATGTGTGTGGATATGTCTGTGTGTGTGTGTGTGTTAGTGAATGTGCGTATATGTGTGTGGAGGGGGGGTATGTCTGTGTGTGTGTGTGGATATGTCTGTGTGTGTGTGTTTTAGTGAATGTGCGTATATGTGTGTGGAGGGGGGTATGTCTGTGTGTGTGTGTGTGTGGATATGTCTGTGTGTGTGTGTGTGTGTGTGTGTGTGTGTGAATGTGTGTTAGTGAATGTGTGTATATGTGTGTGTGTGGGGGGGTATGTCTGTGTGAGTATGTGTGTGTGTGTGTGTGTGTGTTAGTGAATGTGCGTATGTGTGTGTGTGGGGGGTATGTCTGTGTGAGTATGTGTGTGTGTGTGTGTTAGTGAATGTGAGTATATGTGTGTGTGTGTGGGGGGGGTATGTCTGTGTGAGTATGTGTGTGTGTGTGTGTTAGTGAATGTGCGTATGTGTGTGAAGGGGGGGGTATGTCTGTGTGCGTGTGAGTGAGTGTGTGTATATGTGTGTGTGTGTGGATATGTCTCTGTGTGTGTGTGTTAGTGAATGTGCGTATGTGTGTGAAGGGGGGGGTATGTCTGTGTGCGTGTGAGTGAGTGTGTGTATATGTGTGTGTGTGTGGATATGTCTCTGTGTGTGTGTGTTAGTGAATGTGCGTATATGTGTGTGGAGGGGGGGGTATGTCTGTGAGTGTGTGTGAGTGAGTGAGTGCGTATTGGAAGAGATGAGAAACAAGGACACACAAGGATTGTATCATCCTTTCTCATTGGCTGCTTCGATGACTCTCCATTCCCAATTGAGTTAAAAGGTGGATGTTTACAAGTCAAGAAGTATTTTATATACCTTGAAAATAGGTGACATTTGGATTTGTGCGCAAATTATTTGCCATTATGATACTAATTGTGAGTGAAGTGAGTGTCCAAGATATCTCTTGGTCCTGTCATACAAAGTTAATTAATTGTGATCAGTAAATTAATTTGTGAAAATTATGCAAAACACAAAATGGATATTTCAACCCAATGGTTTTAGTCACAGCTCTTTCACAACTCTCCAAACCTATTTCCAGCTATTGCTCTGATACAGAAAAAAACAAATAGTCACCTCAGGAAGTTTTCCTGATGGGTACAGACGATCCAGACAGGAAGAGGCTTGTTGAGCAAGGGGAAATAACTCTTGTTCTATTGTACTATGACTTCGGGCAGCTACTTTCACACTGAAAGAAGAAAAGAACTTCTTTTATAACAGAAAATATAACATGGCTATTTTAACATTTCCCTTGAGACTCTTTACTATATTTACTGAAGAGCCTTGTTAAGCTGAACAGTGTCTCGACCTGTCCACTGATCTGGGTTAGAATTGGCTCTTCAGGAACCCATGCTTGCCGCAAGACGCGACTAACGGGATCAGGTGGTGCCGACTTCGTTGATGCTTGTCATTGTATCATATCTACCTAGATCGATGCTCATGATGTCAATCACTGGATTGTCTGGCCCAGACTAGATTATTTACAGACAGCCGCCATAAAGCTGGAATATTGCTGAGTGAAGCTTTAAACAACAAACAAACTTGACCACCAAGTGTCCATGATCAGTACTTTCTCGTTGACGTGAAAACATGTGGTGTTTACGTTTGTCTGGTGTTGAACCTGGCAACCAGCACTATTCCAGCTATATCACAGTGGCTTCTAAATAATCCGGACCGAAATACACAAACCGGTGGTTGATAATATGAGCACCGTGTCGTGCCGTCAGTGAACGATGACATGCAATCAATCAAATCATTAACCACCACCAGTCCAATAGAGCCCCTCGCAACAAGCAATAGGTGGATTCAGATATGTTGACAGCTGACAGACAGACTACTAGCAAGGCCACACAACACAAGCCCATGTGACTGTCAGTGAGCTGAGCTAAGAGTGAGTGAGTGAGTTGGATTTAACGCCGCTTTTAACAGTATTCCAGTTATATCACGGTGTGTCAGCTTAATGAGGGAGGAAAGCCCGAAGTGATACAGGTCTCAGACGTTTACCACTTCGGTGAAACCCACGAGCATGGGTATGGTGCTGACAAACCTAGAAACATAATGGGAGCGAACCGGGATGCAAACCCACAATCATAATTTTCTGGCGTGCCCAAGGGACGCAACTCTGCACAGCGAATTGCGGCGCCTAAGACGACTGGGCCACCCGTGCCCCCAGCTGAGCTAAGAAGGTATTGTGATACAGTTTATGACAAACGTATTGTTTCAGCCTTAACTTCTCACCATCGAATGAGCGATGCTGCTGCCTCCACGAAATTCAGTAATATGTGAGCCTCATCTTCCGACAAGGGTGCTGGTTGTGGACTGACTGATCGATCCGTCTTCTGCTTCTCAGACCACGATTTTAACACATTCTCGAAAGTCTGAAAGACAAATACAAATTGAACTCAACTTTTACACCAGAAAGAAACTTCAAATTTTACAAAAGTTTTGTTTGTTTTTTGTTTAACACCGCACTCAGCAATATTCAAGCTACATGACGGCGTGCTGTAAATAATAGTCTGGACCAGAGAATCCAGTGATTGATATTATGTTTGTTTGTTTATTTGATGCTTAACGCCCAACTCAGAAATATTCCAGCTATATCACTGCAGTGTATACATAATCAAGTCTGGACCAGAAAATCCAGTGATTGATATCATGAGCATCGATCCACACAATTGGGATACGATGACATGCATCAACCAAGTCAGTGAGCCTGACTACCCGATCCCATTACTCGCCCCGTACGACAAGCATAGTCACCTTCTACGGCAAGCATGGGATCTTGAAGACCTATTCTAACCTGGATCTTCACGGGTCTTTGAAAAAGAATGAGACTAAGCAATCCCACTGCATTCAGCAATATTCTAGCAAAGTGATAAAAAGGGCCGCACACATTGTACGTCTGTGAGGATTGAACTCAGTTTTCTTCCACAGCACATTTGTAAGCCATTCCAAATTGTTAAAACAGATTTATTAGTTACATCGCGAGAGTGAAAACAGTTCTTGGTGTAACCATGATATGATCGACATGCCTAGACATGTTTTATTTCTTAAATCCCCATGCTGGCTGCTCCCCCAACTCACCCTGTCTCTGGTCAGCATCTGTGCGCGGTTCTTGTGCACGATGCGGATGAAGCCCGGGGGTTGGGTCCATGCCTCCCCATCCACCTGCACAGGTACCCCCTCGTCCCCCAGGATGGTGATCTTCACAGTCCGACACTGCAACACCAACACCCACTGTACCTACTGACAAGCCTTGGACAGTTCACATGGATCTCAAGCTTCCTATTTCATAAGTCAACTCTGCCTTCACTGACACTACAGCTTCTAAAACACATCGCAATCCACCACCACCAACTTCAGTGGGCTACATAAGCTAAGACACCATTTTACCATCAATGATCCCACATGACACCCTTACCCTGTGTTGTTGTGCACCAGTACCTCCACCTGTGTCTGTTTGTTTGTTTGTTTGTTAGTTTCCACCTTCCCAAGGCAAGAGAGTTAACTGACTTTAAAAGTCCAGTTTCCACCCTTGCCGAACTAGGCTGGAATTACTGGGCTCGATCGTTGCGCCACCAGTGGCTGTTACCAATTATGTCCCTTCTAAGCCTCTCCTAAGGACAAATCAGATTCCACCTCTCTTATCACTTGCGTTTGCTTCACACAAAATGGTTGCGCCCAGTCAGGACGATCTGATCGATAATCAAGATCTATATTGTCTTACATCGCGAAATGCATCAAATCATGTGAGCACCTTGATTAAAACATGAGAAGATTTTGAAAATATCTGCTGACAACGAGTTGGTGGTGCACATGCTTTGCAAATCCTGCAATCGACCAAAATCTGCAAAACAGTTTACGAACCGGATTTCTATTTCGGTGCGCGTTTTTGATTGGACTATGCATAGACTCGTTAGTCCAGACAAAATGTAACTCCATAATACCAGCCTAGTTCGGCAAGGGTGGAAACTGGACTTTTATAGTCAGTTAACTCACTTGCCTCGGGAAGATGGTTAGTTTCTTGCTTTCTTTCTTTGTTGTTTAACGCCGCACTCAGCAATATTTCAGCTATATGACGGAGGTCTGTAAATAATCAAGTCTGGAACAGGCAATCTAGTGATTGACATCATGAGCATTGATCTACACGATTGGGAGACGATGACATGTATCAACAAAGTCAGCAAGCCTGACCACCCGATCCCGTTAGTCACCTCTTACGGCAAGCATGGGTTGCTGAAGACCTTATCTACCTGGATCTTTACAGGTCCTATAGATATGATACTCAAAAAGATGTAAAGATACCGTATCACTATCTCCCCCAATATTACTCACCTGACAGATTCGATGATGCTGAATGTCGATGACCCTTGACACCGCCATCTGCACTCCCCCGAACACAGCTACCACTTCCAGAATCTTGTCATCGAAACTTGGCGCAGTGAAATTCTGGAAGAGTATTAATGCTATCTGGTCTCAAGAATATACATGAGAACAACATGACCACCTTCATAACACACAAGCAGGGAAACTTTTGAGCCTTCTACAGCAATAGAACAGCTAAAGAACAGCAATAAAACAACAATAGACCAGTTGTTTCTCTTGTTCGTCAACCAAGTATTATTCATACTAAGAACATCTGGACCATCTTATTCATACTGCAGGGAAGTATTCTGCCTTGTCAGTGTAGGGGCTCATAAATTCTTAGTTTGTGCAAGTCAAGCATTTCAAATCTGATTTCTGTATCATGTAAATGAATGTAAATGGGCAGTTCCAAATGGAGCAAAATAGAGTCTGTGCTCTATATGCTGTGGATAAGATATAAATCTTGTCTTGTCTGAGTGTGATAGCATCTGCACCCAAAAGGGATTACACAGCCAGGAGAAAAGTTTGTTTTCTTTTGTTTAAATATTCACTTTCTAATCAAGATTGTAAAGTAATGACGCTATATTGTTATAAAATTTGACATTTGCTTGGCTCAAACCCTCACACATCCTTCATTTTGATTGGGCAGTCCATGTTCCCATGATTTAGTCTATTGAGAGTTTGTCAGATCTTGATAGAGTGAGGTATTGTTTCTGAGTAAAGGTTTGATCTAAAGAGATTGAGACCAACTATGATATGGAACTTGTCAAATCATTAGTGAGGTGAGGTGAGGTGAGGTGAGGTGAGGTGAGGCGAGGCGAGGCGAGGTGAGGTGAGGCGAGGCGAGGCGAGGCGAGGCGAGGCGAGGCGAGGTGAGGTGAGGTGAGGTGAGGTGAAATTTGGTTGAACGTTGCGTCCAAGATTATTGCACTTATATAGCAACATGTATGCCCAGGTGTGTGGCCGCTTGTACTAGTCCAGACTGATGCCGATTTATAGTGCTAGCACACTGAGATACCATGCCGCAGTTTAACATGAATACCCCACTCAGACACAGTATACTGCCTCTGAGCCGACCAGTCCTGGTTTTAGCCCCTTAATGGCGAGCGCCAGACAGGGTAACAACAAGCACCATCTTTTCAAGTCTTTTGGTATGACGCGGCCAGGGGTAAATAGTACATCATAAATCAAATGTTTTTTTAGTATCTTGGACAACATGTACAATAATGGGAAGTAGTCTTACTGTATCTTCTTTGGTACCACCCCAGAAATTTGCCCCTCCACCATAACTGAAAATAGACAGGAAAACAGTATAGACAGGTAGAGTAAGAGAACAACCAAATAATAACTAGAACTATCACTATCTGTCTCACAGCAATAACAAGTGAATGAAAAGATAGATGGTCCTTCCCCCATCGATGGCTTTCTTCACAGTATTCTAACAGTGAAGGCGTGTCTGGCCGCAGTAAGCAGTTTGACAGCTGTATCACAATGTCTGATCAAACCAGTGGTTGACAGCATGAGCAAGGATCTGCAAACGATCACCAATTCTGTCCGATCAATCAGCACTCATACCAACTCAATTAGCACTAATGCCTAGTCAATAAACAGGCACCCTGTCAAACCGACTTTTTCTCCAATCCAGCATAGTCCTTGCCAAACTGCCCAATAGTTTAGGTAGCATAAGGACTAGTAGAAATTTGACCTTTTTAAGGGTCTTGCTATAAGTTATCATTATAAGGGCCAGTGGACTAAAAATGTTAGCTTCTAACGTTGCACTCAATCAGCAATAATTTCCAATCAATCAACAATTGTGGCCAAACAATCAACAGATGCCTCAATCTAATGACTTTTGTCCCCAAACAATTGTCAATTGTGCCAAAAGAACTGACAATTGTGCCCAAACAATCAACATTTGTGCCCATACAACCGACATCTGTGCCCAAACAACCAACATTTGCGCCGAGTCATTTAACAGTTGAGCCTAATGTTTCTTCTTTTTGTCCCAGTTAGAGGGACACGTCCCATCATCCTGATGTCATCGTGACTGAAACTACTTTCCATCAACCAACCTTGGAATGTTTAGAATGACGATCCCCTTAAGACTAGGCAGGGGAATTCTCTGTCCATCACACTCCAGGAGGACTCTCTGGTCCAGGTTCTTGAAGGTGCGATGCAGTATCTCCTTGCTGGCCAGGACTCCGTACCACATCAGATTCTTCGTCCTACTCCTACACTTCTCGGGATGCTCATCCCGCTTCATCTGGAACTCTAGATTGATCTTGGCGTCGAGGCCAATACCAAAGTAGTTGTTCATAACACATCTCTCTGTGTACAGCTCTCTGGAAGACACACAACCATAAATAAACATTTCACCAAAAGTTAGTCAAAAAGAAAATTTGTAATCACATCTGAAAATAAATACAATTTCTTGCCCAAATTTATCTTAATTCCTTTTCAAATTCAACAAAGTCACAATTTTGGAAAATGGGCCACATCGTTCCACATAGCAATCTTGTGACAATTTTTCGACTATGGTAGATTATTGGAGATGTAATAGTCTTAGTGCCCTTTTTTGGATATCAAAGGCAACATTCTAACAATCACACTAGGGCTGGGACGGGTAACTCGGGTACCCTGGTTGGGTGGGTACTGAGTAGGACCCGGGTATCCACAGGACTACCCGGACCCATGGTTAGTCATGTGATATATATTTTAATGCCAAAAATTATCTAGAGCTCTATGGTTACACTACAAGTCACTAATGTTCGCATTTCTTTCTGACTATGCACACATTCCTTCTGATTTTTCATATGGTTAAATAACTTAAGTCAACTTCAGTGTATGCAAGACCAGATCATTTAATACATGTATCTAAATCTAAATACGTTTTGCAAGTGCTGTGGTAAAAAAAATTCCCAATCAGACATTTTGTATCTCTCTCTTTTGTACCTACAGTGGGTACCCGGGTAGGGTCGGGTAATAGGGGGTGGGTCCCTGGGTAGTAAAGCCCTAAATCATACACAAGATGTCATGACAAATCTTACGGGATATCTTCTTCTAATAGCGGTGATGCTGCTGCACAGAGGGCATCGGCATTGGCGAGAAGCACCTTGCTGATGAAGCTGCCTCCACCCAGAGTCTTGGCCAGACTGCTGCTCATCCCTGGAGCAGACAACAAGGCAGCCATTTTGAATTCCCATTATTATTCTTTGACCTTTGATTTATTTTCTTCGTATATTTTGAGTTTATTATTATTTCATTTTGTACCCTCTTCATCCTTATCAATACCATAGATATATTTTCCATAAGATAATGTGTAAAAATATACATCAAGAGCCACAGTTTACACAAACATATATGTATATTTCTGTGTCACTGGGCAGCAGGATTTGTTCTAGCAAGTAGTGTTAAACTTTGTGAAATGAGAAGACAACAAATAAGTTTCTATTTGTACAAACATAAAAAAATAGTTACTTCAATTATAGTCAATAAGAATTAGTGTAGTTACACGAATAATTTATCCAAATCATCCACAAGGTCAAATATTTATTTCCAAAGGCTAAACATCCACATTACTTAAGGAGCTGATGCAGACCAAGATGGCCGCCGACTCACCAGGCAGCATCATGTGGTGATGGTCAAATGTGGGCAGTCCGGGCGTGGGGGGCACATGCAGGGTGTCCCTGTTGGTGCAGAGGTTGGAGCCCACGCTGGCGGAGCGGTTGAACGTACTCATACTGCTGATCCTACGTGACGACGGACCTCTAGGAGAGCGAGACCCATCTGACACAGAATGGTCACCAGCATTGTATATGGGGAGCAAAGTATACTGACAGCTAAAAGTAACTGTACACATGTTCCTGATCTCTCAGAGAGCAGGATCGATCTGACACGAAATAGGCACAATCTTAGTCGTGGAGCAAAATATACTGACAGCTAAAAGTAACTGTACACATGCTCCTGATCTCTCAGAGAGCAGGATCGATCTGACACAAAATAGGCACAATCTTAGTCGTGGAGCAAAATATACTGACAACTAATAATAACTACACATTCTTATTCATGACCATATGACTTCATGTTTTCTTGATGTCTTAAACCGTTTTAATGATAAGATGGGCTATAGTTAAGGCCTAGATAGGTTCATAAATGTTTTTCGATTTTGATATATTTGAGATTCACATGCCACAAGCAATTTTGTCTTCGTAAGTCAGTGACTATAGTCCGTAATCTAAGTGTTAATGTATTGACAGATATTATCAAAGCTAACTCGGCCAAAGAAAGTTTACAAGACACGGGGCCCGTGACGACAGTCTCTGACTGGCTATGTAGTAATGATTCAGTAACAGCCTGTAAACAAATACAAACTGGATTGCAATGCTGATTTTTTTCAAACTCATTGCAAAGCTTGGCACATATTCCAAAACAGTAAATCTCCTAAACAAAGAGCACTCACCCATCCAAATTGGAGCCGGTGGAGGAGGAGGAGGCGGTGGCTCCATTGTGAATATTGAGAAGCTTGGAGCCGACCGAGATGTCGTCCCGTCTGTCATGCCAGCGTTCTCTACGTCCCGATTATCTGCCCCTGTTTCAAGCATCATCTGCCGCGTCTGCTCATTTTGTTCATCAACAGCTGCAATGTAAAGGGCTGAATCACTGTCGCTGATCATCGACCTGGTCATAAAGCCCTAAAGGAAGCCTTGTCAGGCGAAGCCTGAGTGATACTTGTCCAAGCTAAATGAAGGATGTGTGAAATCTTGAGCCAATCACAGGTCAGCTTTCTAAAACGATTCAGCTTCATATATTCAGAAATTTCGAACAAACAATATGTCATTGCACAAAAGAACCTTAGCACCACAATGACTGTGAAAGTAATGGGAGTTACGATCACCTTAGTGCTAAGATCCTTTGTACATAGGCACCCAGAGCAAGATTCCCCTAGTCACACACCCTTTGCTGTGAAGTTGCCACTGCAGTTAGTACAGGGTGTATCAGATATCCACAAAATATACAGCATTGTCATTATTATTTTCCATTCAGAACTACTAGGTCGTGATAGTTTTAAGATACAGATATCAAAGTTGCAGCTCTGAATGCTTAACTTGCTTGTTCCAAGAATGTAGCAGCCTCAACATAGATTGACTGATCAGAAAGTTCACCTGGCGCGACCTCCTATGGAGGGTTTGTCAGCTCTTCACACAGTGAGGTATTGGAGTATCGGCGTGCCGGAGTATCAGAGTGCCGGAGTATCAGAGTGCCGGAGTATCGGAGTGCCGTAGTAAAGATGCTATTGCTGCACTACTATGACAACCTGTGTCAAAAGAAATGATCCTACCTTTCTCTGTGTGTTCTATGATCTGCCGCACCGCTTTCTTCAAGCTGTTGGCTCGTGACATCAAGGCATCTCGGGGTCGGAATATAGCCTGACGAAAAACACAGGAACACCATGTAACACATCCCTGCACAGTCGGCAACTTTCGCCACTAGTCTGAAGCCCAAGTCTAGTAACATTCTGTTCAGTCCAGCAAGCTCAGCTAATAACAGTCCACATAACAACACTACATTCTCCTGGCAATGATGCCAGGAGACAAGTTCGGACTCAACATTTGGGGCACTCAGCGCTTTACATCATGTAATACATCCCTTGTGCCACCTTAGAAATATATTCTGCCAGACAACAATAAATTAGTCATTCAATCCCTCCCCACCCTCCCCCTTACTACCAATTGTGACCGAACAACAGTAGTTTGACAAACAGATCTATCAGTGAAGATCCGGGTTACAATAGGTCTTCCGCAACAAATGCTTGTCAGTAGAGGAGACTATGCTTGTCGTAATTTGCGACTAACGGGATCAGGTGGTCAGGCTCGCTGACTTGGTTGATGCATGTCATCGTATCCCAATTGCGTGGATCGATACTCATGATGTCAATCACTGGATTGTCTGGTCCAGACTCGATTATTTACAGACCGCTGTCATATAGCTGGAATATTGCTGAGTGTGGCGTCAAACAACAAACAAACAAAAAATCAACTCACAGATCTGACTTTGATGGGGCCAGTTATCTCCCCTGGGACTATGTCTCTCTCCGGGGAGCCAATCACAGGCTCCTCCACAATCTCCTCCTCCGGCTCCTGTAATGTAACCCAGGGATCAGGGAGAGAATATTGTAACATCTTCACCACTTTCAATACCACTGAATATTTATCAGAATCAAATGATTGCTTCTCGTTCTGTCCACATGTGTACATACCTCTGTTGAAGCCTTCGATTCATGGTTGAGAGTCTTCAACAACCCTTCTAGTTTCTCATTTAACACAGCACACTGCAACAAATAGACAACAACTGGAAAACATTGCTACTTTGATAGCAATACAAAAAAGCAAGTTATCTCCCTTTGACCATAATGGACACACATGAGTTAGGTCCCTTTGACCATGGAGATGTCTCATAAATCTTGACAAGATCGGAGTAGCAGGCATACAAGAATCAGGAGTAGGCAGAACCATAACAGTAAATAATAACAATAATCCAGTGGTCGACAGCATGAGGAACAGTTGTCCCCATTCAGGAATGACACATAATTGCTCAGATTACAAAACCTAACCACTAAATTTTCATTGACAAGCATGGTGTCGCGGGTCATCATCGTCGTGATTGTTGTCGTGACCAGATCCGTACCTTCATGGCAATAGACTCTCCCTCGGGCTCTTCCTTCTCAGGCTCCTCCTCATGAGAATCTCCCACTTTGGCTACAAAATCTTTGACAGTTTCACATAAAACTCTGAAACAAAGACAACATCCTCTTATTTTAATTGAAAAATGAAAGACATCCTAATCTATTTCACATTGTAGATTACATTTAACCATTTTAGGTCAATAAATCTATTATACACTGACTTGGTGGATGCATGTCATCGCATCCCAATTGAGTGGATCAATGCTCATGATGTCAATCGCAAGATTGTCTGGTCCAGATTTGATTATTTACAGCCTGTGTCATAGAACTGGAATATTGCAATAAACAATAAATAAACAAACAAACAAACAATGTTGAAGGAGTTTGAGAGAGGTACTCACTTGGCAGAGGATATCACAACCTGATGATCTTCGGAATGAAGTATTTTGGACAGATGGGCAGCGACGGAGTCCTCATACTGGGAGATGGGATCAGTCTGTACGAGGAGACAGAGACACCATGACACAAACACTCAACTCAACCCTGCTGCAGTGTGGGCCCAGCCTGCTGGCAACCTAAAGTTGGGGCTATCCAGACAAATATGTGAGACATGCAAAAAGTAAATATTCTGGACTAGTGTCAGATGATAGCAAATGAACTGCCCCATTCAATTTGATTGGCTGAGTAAATATAAATGGACCAATCATGATGGGTCGTATGGAAGGGTTTATAGCGGATGAACAGAGGACAACAGCACATCTATGTTGCCAAAGTAACAGATATTAAGTCAGGTTGGAAGCTCTTAATTATACAATTTACAAAGAAATTGTGTATGTCTGACTGTGTGTATGACTGTGGGTATGTCCGACTGTGTATGCTCACCTGTTGAGACAGTTTTCTAGGAGGCGGCATGGTGCCCTCGTACGTCCATATACTCCAGCTGAAACAATTGTGGTACTGTTCAAGTTTATGTTAACCCATATATTTCATGTTGTTTCCTTGTGAGACTGCTGGCCTCACTATCTGGTCACACATTGTCTACACAGTTCCACCATGATTCACACTCTTTTCGCCAATGTTACAGCTACATCACTGACTCCAAATAATCAACATCTTTAAGTCTGAATAGGCAAACCAGTGGTCGACAGGATGAGCGACAATTAACACCATCGGGGTATGACGTCACACAGCGAGGTCATACATTACCAAACAAATTTGGTCGGCTTTAATAAAAAGCATGGAGTGGTTGGACCCTAGACTCCGGAATTCGCATGATTCTTTGAGAATAGCAATCAAGTCGTGTAACCATGGCAACCATGGCTACTCACCGATCCAACATTTTGATCTGAGCATGCTCCAGTTTCTCCAGTGCAGCTGGAAGTTGTGTGTCGTCGTCGAACGCTGCCCCCCACCCTAGGACCCGCGCCAAGTCATTCCCCGTCCCGAACGGTAGCACCCCTATTTGGCACTGAAACATTACAATCACAATGTCACAAAACTATCATTTAGCCAAGCATGAATTTAAAGATGAGATTGTTATTGTGGCTGCTGAAGTTCTACATAATTATCATCATTACAGTCTATATAGTTGACATGATTTAACTATCACAGCACAGTAACCTTCGTAGCATTATCAGTCCCCTACAAATATTCCTAAAGCTGAAACATACTATTATATATTCTTCAATCTCAAATATACTATTAAATATTCAACACTCTCAAACATGCTATTAAATATACCTCAATCTGAAACACACTATTAAATATTCATCACTCTGAAACACACTATTAAACATTCATCACTCTCAAACATACTATTAAATGTACCTCAATCTGAAATAAACTATTAAATATTCCCTAATCTCAAATATACTATTAAATTTTCAACACTCTTAAACATACTATTAAATCTACCTCAATCTGAAACACTATTAAATATTTAACAATCTGAAACATACTATTAAATATTCCTCACTCTGAAACATACTATCAAATATTCCTCACTCCAAACAGTTTCAAATATTCCTCAATCTCAGATATACTATTTAATAATCCACGCTCTCAAACATACTATCAAATATTCCTCATTCTCACACACACTATTAAACATTCCTCTCTCTGAAACATACTATCACATATTCATCACTCTTGAATATACTATTAAATACTCATCCTTGCAAATATTCTTAATGTAAATATCCTTCATTTTAAATATCCTTGTTCCTGAATAATCAATCTCAATTCATGGTTTAAAGTCTCCTTGAGTATGACAGTAAGTAACACAGCCCACCTGTCGATGTAGATCTAGTTTGTCAATCTCAGAAAGCACCCATCCAATACTGCCATCGCCCCCACAGATGAGAATACGGAAGGAATCAAATTTTTGGAATAATCGTAGCCTGAAACACAAGACAATGTTGTTTTTGTACACACATGAGGAGGAGGACACCATCTAAGTGAGTGAGTGAGTGGGAGTGGTGAGTGAGTGAGTGAGTGTAAACACAGCTGTGGACAGCATTTCATTTACAGCACAGCATGTCAGCTTAATGTGGGAGGGTCAAGTATTTATGGAATAATTTCTGTCCACAAACCTAGCATATATGGGTTTGAACTCACAATCATATTTTATTGGCAGCTCAAGGAAAGCAACTCTACACAGTGAAGGTGAGGTGAAATTGGGTTTAACGTCGCGTCCAATATTATTGCACTTATATAGCGACGTGCATGCAGACGTGCCGGACTGATGCCGATTTATAGTTCTAGCTCACTGAGATACCATGCCGCAGTTTAACATGAATACCCCACTCAGACACAGTATACTGACTCCGAGCCGACCAGTCCTTGTTTTAGCCCCTTAATGCCGAGCACCAGACAGGGTAACAAGAAGTACCTTTTATCTTTTAACGTCTTTTGGAATGACGCGGTCGGGGATCGAACCCCGGACCTTCCGCTCTGAGGGAGGAGGCTCTACCACTAGACCACGGAGGCGGTCCTCTACACAGTGAAAGCGGAAGATATTTAGAGAGAGTATCGAGAGATGGTAAAGAGAGAAGGTGTGAGAGTGTCTGTCAATGGAGGGGACAAAGTGTCAACAAGATGAGAGAGAGTGAATGGAAGGTGGGTTACAAGTATGTCGACAGGGAGAGTGTCTGTGGTTTGGGAGGGAGAGACCGAGTCCCACTCACCCTGGGTAGGGGCCGCCATTCATGAGATCAAACACCTGAGCAGGATTCAACAGCTGCTTAAATCTTCGTAAAAATTTTACTCCCTGAAAACAAAATACATGACATTAATCCTCATGGTATCATTCATTAATCCACTATATAATTCATTAATCCACATGATATATTTCATTAATCCACATGATATATTTCATTAATCCACATGATATAATTCATTTATCCACATGATATAATTCATGAATCCAGGATATAATTCATTAATCCACATAACATTCATTAATCCACATGATATAATTCATTAATCTACATGATATAATTCATTAATACACATGATAATATTCATAATCAACCAAACATCTTGCAATTTTTTCCAACAGACAAACGTGCATGACACAGTAACATTAAACTGTCAGCTATAACGTGGGTCCAGGAAGGGGGAGAAAGACATGTCAGTTTTGATCTAGGACCACTGAGTCAAGTACAGACTCCACATTGCTCCATCTATCTGCACATTGCTGTTCCAATCTTGCTGACATCAAAGGCCCAGTGTCAAGGTAGTTTTCCCTTACTGTAGAATTCCATGTGTTATTCACATTGTTATAATCAGTATAATTTAAAGTTCAACATCCACTCTACTTCCAGCTTCTGTTGCCTCTAGTACCTGTCATTCTTCAATCACTTTCCACCCATACTATAATATTCAACAAGTACTACTGTATTCCATGTTCCACCTGTTGGTTGGTTGGTTTTGTGTTTTACGCCGCACTCTGCAATATTCCAGCTATATGACGGCGGTCTGTAAATAATGAGTCTGGACCAGACAATCTAGTGATTGACATCCTGAACATGGATCCACCCAATTGGGGTCGGTGACATGCATCAACCAAGTCAGCGAGCCGGACCACCCTATCCTGTTAGTCGCCTTTTACGACAAGCATTGTTGCCTTTTAAGGCAAGCATGTGTTGCTGAAGACCTGTTCTACCACGGATGTTCACGGGTCATGGCAAGCATGTGTTGCTGAAGACCTGTTCTACCCCGGATGTTCACGGGTCATGGCAAGCATGTGTTGCTGAAGACCTGTTCTACCCCGGATGTTCACGGGTCATGGCAAGCATGTGTTGCTGAAGACCTATTCTACCCCGGATGTTCACGGGTCATGGCAAGCATGTGTTGCTGAAGACCTGTTCTACCCCGGATGTTCACGGGTCATGGCAAGCATGTGTTGCTGAAGACCTGTTCTACCCCGGATGTTCACGGGTCATGGCAAGCATGTGTTGCTGGAGACCTATTCTACCCCGGATGTTCACGGGTCATGGCAAGCATGTGTTGCTGAAGACCTGTTCTACCCCGGATGTTCACGGGTCATGGCAAGCATGTGTTGCTGAAGACCTATTCTACCCCGGATGTTCACGGGTCATGGCAAGCATGTGTTGCTGAAGACCTGTTCTACCCCGGATGTTCACGGGTCATGGCAAGCATGTGTTGCTGAAGACCTGTTCTACCCCGGATGTTCACGGGTCATGGCAAGCATGTGTTGCTGGAGACCTGTTCTAACCCGGATGTTCACGGGTCTGTTCCACCTGTACTGTACCTGATTGTCCCCACTTTTGGTGTTGACGTACACCAGTAGCGGGCTGGTCCCCGGGGGTCGGGTCGCCTCCCAGTAGCCGTCCGAGTCAATGCTGTTAATAGCGATGGGAGGTAGCACAGACAAGCGGCATTGACCAAGGGGGCATTTCCTATAGAATTGTTCTTTACATGTCGTATGCACCTGAAAAAAATATTGCCAAATGAGTGAATCATTGAGAGAATAATAAATAGTGAGTGAGTATGGTTTTACGCCGCTTTTAGCAATATTCCAGCAATATCACAGCGGGGGACACCAGAAATGGGTTTCATACATTGTACCCATGTCGGGAATCAAACCCAGGTCTTCAGCGTGATGAGGGGACGCTTTAACCACTAGGCTACCCGACCTCCCCGAATTTATAAATGTAAGTGGAGCAAAATACTGAAGGTCAAAAGAGTAACAAGAGTAATCAGGAGATGACATATCAACCCCCTGACTACTTCTACCCAGCTTCTGCCATTAGAAACCTTCAGGTTTGTGAAGAAAGTAGTAATGCTGTATTTTTCAATATCCCACTTCACCAATTCACCTCATTTTCATTGTTAAACTTCATGAAAACATAAAAAGTAAAACTCCCAAATCATCAAAAGGTAAGGGGGGTTAGAAAAGGAGAATAAGTCATGTTGCCGCATGATGGCAACACACAGAAATGCAGTTCATCCTACAATGCCACTTAGCAACAACTACAGTGTATACCTGCAGCCCTGACCATGGATGTGTACTCACCATAGCTCGACACCAGAGGCAGCGCCAGTCTTGGAGACGGAGAACGCTGCCGCAGGTTTTATCACAGACATTGCATTTAGCACTGACAGGTAGGTTGCCTTCCAGCCACTGGTGTGGTAATGAGATCTGAAACACAAACAATTGTGAGTGAGTATGGTTTTACGCCGCTTTTAGCAATATTCCAGCAATATCACGGCGGGGGACACCAGAAATGGGCTTCACACATTGTACCCATGTCGGGAATCGAACCCAGGTCTTCGTCGTGACGAGCGAACGCTTTAAGCACTAGGCTACCCGACCGCCCCGAAACACAAACAAACATGGGCCATGTAGATACTTCTCCACTAGAGCATAACCCTTTCACGAGAGTCAGGAAAACGGGTACCCAATATTCACTTTAATCACTGCATATCGGTGTAATGTGGGGAAAGGCAAAATTGAAGCAGGTCTTAGGTTCTTTGAGTGGCATTTAGAAGTTGGAATGGTCACTAAGACAAAATTGTTATGGATGAGCAACTTCTTTATTGCCCCATTGTAATAAAGAAGTTGCTCATCCATAACAATTTTGTCTTAGTCAGGTCTTAGGTGTTGACCAACTTGGTGAACCCACAAGTACAAGAGTGGTGCTGACAGACCACGGGTCATAATCAGGGCAGATTTCGTATTTGACACCCACCACCAGCGGATCCTGTTATAGTGAAGGGAAGGAACTCTGCACATTGAATAGTGAAGCAGACAGACAGACAGACAGACAGACAGACAGACAGACAGACAGACAGACAGACTCACTCACTCACTCACTCACTCACTCACTCACTCACTCACTCACTCACAGACAGACAGACAGACAGACAGACAGACTCACTCACAGATTTGTGTTTCCGGACGAAATGGACACGGAACACGGACTGACTGACTGAAATGAATCCCCTTCAAACCCCAAACCAAGCTTACCCACCATCCCTCAACCCCATCTCACAAATAAAAACAAACTTCATTCATAAGGATGTATTGTCCAGCACCAAAATAAATATCAAGTAGGAATAACATATATATACAGAGTAACTCGTTACATGTGATTATCTCACTGCCTACCTTGCCCCCTTTCCCTAAAGCACCTTAGCATTAATTGACTTGCATCAGGAATTAGGCCTTCAGCCTGAAGTCATTAGAAAAGGCAACACCACTAAATCTACAAGACAAGCCTCAAGTCAGATCTGCCTGAATACACACACCTCGAGAAAACAGTAAATCCTAAACCAAATAAGAGCTTGCTTAACAATTCCACAATTCTAAGCTACCTAACCAGCTCCAAGCACTGTCATACAACACTAACTACTAATCATAGCCACAGCAAATATCCCACAGGGCAACCCAAAACTTAGCCGATGTATTTCAGTCTCTCAATTGCCCCGGACAATGCTCCATCCCCAAACCTCACTGATAATCGGCTTCAAACCGGCCCTTAGCCCAGTGACAGTGGTCTAGCTTCTGGGCAAATTTGACCTGCTGTAGCCTTGTGGACAACCCTGGCATGCTCTAGCCATGGCGGATATCCTGATTGGGCAGTTCTTGCAACAATCCTGTGATAGGCTTCATTGTGCGTGCTGGGTGTAGATGGATTGAATCAATCTCCCCCTGGGTATAGTTGGACAACAGCTTCTGGCTTGCGAAGACCGATCTTCAAGAACGGTCATGCCCCAAGAGGAACACTGATTTGAGCACTGTACTTAAGGTCGCAATGGCTAAGCCAAAAAGTTGGTCTATAAGATGAACCATATATTGTACCTCGCCTGAAGTAATGGTACATGTACTGCCTTTTCTCACTAAAAGTTATTGGACTTCGAGGGAACATTACTCATCAACACAAGGTACCACTTTAGCCCTTTGCTGAGTAAGTGATGAAAGCTTCATGAACATATTTTGAATTGTTCTCCTCACGAAATAAACCCCTCTTTGAATAATAGTATTGAATATATTTTACAAAGAAAAGTTTGTTTGTTTACTCGTTGTTTAGCGCCACACTCAGCAATATTCCAGCAATATGACGGCAGTCTGTAAATAATCAAGTCTGGACCAGACAATCCAGTGTTTGACATCATGAGCATCGATCCACTCGATTGGGATACGATGACATGCATCAACCAAGTCCGCGAGCCTGACCACCCAATCCCGTTAGTTGCCTTTTACGACAAGCATAGTCACCTGTTACAGCAAGTATGGGTTGCTGAAGACTTATTCTACCCCGGATCTTCACAGGTCTTATATAGAAAGGACAAAAACAATGAATTTACATAGAAAGGACAAAAAAAATGAATTTGTAATTATCAGCAAGCACAATTTGGTTAATAAACCTTCAGAAACTGTTTCCACAAATCAATCTTGTTAGGGATGCCCATTTATTTCTTACAATGGATGTGAACTTGGCCAAATGTACCCTTACACAAACAAGGGATTAGAGACCAGATGAAAATCTTGTTGGGGTCTGGTACAAGAATGAGCTAGTCTACGGAACTCCCAGAAATGTAAGTCCATGTTAAACCTTGGATCTCCCGTCACTCAGGACTTAAGTTCAAACATGTTTCATTCATACCATCTTCAAACCAGCTTAAACCCATCACTGTGCTGGGCCTGACTGGCCTACAATAAAACTAAACAAGCTAGGCCATGAGAACATCCTCAGTTGGTGAATGTTGTGCTGGGCTTGAATGACCTACAATAAAACTAAACAAGCTAGACCATGAGAACATCCTCAGTTGGTGAATGTAGTGCTTGGCCTGACTGGCCTACAATAAAACTAAACAAGCTAGGCCATGAGAACATCTTCAGTTGGCGTGAATGTTGTGCTGGGCCTGACTGGCCTACAATAAAACTAAACAAGCTAGGCCGTGAGAACATCCTCTGTTGGTGTGAATGTTGTGCTGGGCCTGACTGGCCTACAATAAAACTAAACAAGCTAGGCCGTGAGAACATCCTCTGTTGGTGTGAATGTAGTGCTGGGCCTGACTGGCCTACAATAAAACTAAACAAGCTAGGCCATAAGAACATCCTCAGTTGGTGTGAATGTTGTGCTGGGCCTGACTGGCCTACAATAAAACTAAACAAGCTAGGCCGTGAGAACATCCTCTGTTGGTGTGAATGTAGTGCTGGGCCTGACTGGCCTACAATAAAACTAAACAAGCTAGGCCGTGAGAACATCCTCTGTTGGTGTGAATGTAGTGCTGGGCCTGACTGGCCTACAATAAAACTAAACAAGCTAGGCCGTGAGAACATCCTCTGTTGGTGTGAATGTTGTGCTGGGCCTGACTGGCCTACAATAAAACTAAACAAGCTAGGCCATGAGAACCTCCTCAGTTGGTGAATGTTGGTGATATTTTCCAGTCACTGCTTCAAGATAACAAGATTTTTCTCTGAAAGCAGGATGGGAAACATGTTTTTATTTCAGTTTTCTAAGGCCCCCCTAACATGTCTATGTGAACAGTTCATATTTTTGTAAGATCCAGGCAAACTGATTTGTTTGAAGTACTCTCTGGAACAAATTATTTAAAAAAGCAACAACTTACTCCCTCCTCCTCCTCCTCGATGATGTCTTTGCCGATGGATGACAGTGATGTCCACTTGCAGTCTGTCGGAGCACGGACTGCACATCGCTTATGAGCCTTGAATTTACAAACTGAAACACAAATGTAACCATAAGATCGAAGCTCATGACGTCAATCACTTGTCTGTCTGGTCAAGATTTTTGATTATTTAAAGGCTGCCATCATATGGCTGGAATATTGCTGAGTGTGGCGATAAACAACAAACAGCAAACAAACAAAACTGTAAGAATTTGTTATCAAACCCCATAAATCATTTGCTATTTCAATATATTTCTGCTGATCAAGATTCTTCAAATCTTAATCCAGACCAAGAAAAAGCATTTTTGTTAGAACATTCTAATATCTGTTTTCACAAATAAAACTTTGATTCTCAGCAAATGCACATGGTAAACAGTTACAAAACCAAGGACAATGTCTGAGATGAATCTGTCCATTTGGGACGACTATTTCACAACACCAGACATAGCAGCACCTCCAGGTCCTGGCGGCCTCCAGCCCCAACTTCACATTACACCAGACACAGCCATGGTGTCACCATCTGACTCACGGCAACAGCAGCACGTGATGCTATATAGCAGGACTTTCCTCTACCATACACGGTGGAAACAAAGAGATCACATCCACAACTGTCAACAACTGTTCCCCCACATGACAATGGAACTCATATTCTTTGTAAACAAAACAATATCCTCAGAAGATGAAATGGGATTTGCACCTTTGCAACAACTAGTTTTCAGAGTGTCATTTTGAAAGTCTGCTTTGAAAATCCTTTGAGGTGGATTTCATCATCCTAGATTAAGCAGCTTGTGAATGGATGAACTGCATATTGATCTCAGTTACTGCATATCTAATACTGCATAGTGTATACCATATACTGAATACTGCATACTGCATATTGAATACTAAATACTGCATATTGATTACTGAAATATTGCATACTAATTACTGCATAGAGTACTGAAATACTTCATACTGATTATTGCATACAGATTACTAAAATACTCCATACTGATTACTGCATACAGAGTACTGAAATATTGCATACTGATTACTGCATACAGAGTACTGAAATATTGCATACAGATTACTCATACAGATTACTGAAATATTGCATACTGACTACTGCATACAGATTACTGAAATATTGCATACTGACTACTGCATACAGATTACTGAAATATTGTATACTGATTACTGAAATATTGCATACTGATTACTCAATACTTCATATTGAATATACTGAGTGTTTTAAGGATTGAAGTCATGTTTTAGCACTATCTCGGATCAAATACAGGAAATACTTGCACCAGTTGTATATTTTACCTGGATTTTCCTTTAGAAACTAAATCCATGCATTCCATTGTTACCCAACATTAATAACTAATAGAACTAGTCAATACTGCTTCCATGACAATCATGCAAAATTTCAATTCAGCCTAACTGTCCACCAAGCTATATTGTATACCTGCTCTGGGATCACAGAAAAGCCTGGCATTACAGAGGACATGTTTTTTGTGAGAAATCCAAGAAAAAGGTAATTACACGGAAAGATTTTTTTTATCTTATAAAAGATACACTTTCTATTACAAGAAAAAACATCATCTGCAACATTTTCTCATAGAATTTTGTGATGCCACCTTCAGAGGGGCTGCAATGAAAGCCAATAGCAATCACTGTAAAGAGAATCCTCACCATCAGTCAATTTGAACTCATTTTTTATTTGATCTTAGTAGTCTATCATTTTTTCCATTTTACACAATGTAGTTTCAAGATTCTGAGGTAAACCAGTACCCCATGTTCACATTGTGCAATGGCATGAAGACGCTGCAATACTGTGACAGCTCCAAGACACTCCTTGTCACTCCCTAATCACTGCCAGACTATAAATACCGCCTTGTAATTTGAAGCCAAGTTGGACTGGCCTGCACAGAGTATGTGTCCTTTGTGTGGTCTGACTTCTTGAGCCAGTGACAGGCTCGCTCCCTGGACATCACTGATGAAACTATCTGCTGTAAATGTCAAACCTACACGCAGATAGTAAGTCTGCCGGTGAGTAGGTTCAATGGCACTGCGTTTATAGCTGTCTCCAACAAGGCACATGGGATCACGCAGGCAACAACAGTGTCGTTTGGCGCTGATTGAAGCACACAGATTTTTTCTAAATGTGACAACCGATTGTTTTTTTCCCCCTACTGATTTTGTCTTCTTTATCGATGGCAACAGAAGGAGGGATCTTGTCTCTTGTGCACAGAGTTATTTTCAGTTAGCGTTTATTGATTGCAAACTTTGGGAGACATGTTAGATGTTCTGTAAAAGCATTGTCATGTTACCTTAGTTGTATTATAATTCCTATTAGCATGTAATTCCCTACTGTCATGTTACTCTCCATGTTATGCCCAACTGTCATGTTACTCTCCATGTTATGCCCAACTGTCATGTTACTCTCCATGTTATTCCCTTCTGTCATGTTACTCTCCACGTTATCCCAACTGTCATGTTACTCTCCACGTTATCCCAACTGTCATGTTACTCTCCATGTTATTCCCAACTGTCATGTTACTCTCCATGTTATTCCCTTCTGTCATGTTACTCTCCACGTTATTCCCAACTGTCATGTTACTCTCCATGTTATTCCCAACTGTCATGTTACTCTCCACGTTATTCCCTACTGTCATGTTACTCTCCATGTTATTCCCAACTGTCATGTTACTCTCCACGTTATCCCAACTGTCATGTTACTCTCCATGTTATTCCCTTCTGTCATGTTACTCTCCACGTTATCCCAACTGTCATGTTACTCTCCATGTTATTCCCTACTGTCATGTTACTCTCCACGTTATCCCAACTGTCATGTTACTCACCACATTATTCCCTTCTGTCATGTTACTCTCCATGTTATTCCCTACTGTCATGTTACTCTCCATGTAATTCCCTTCTGTCATGTTACTCTCCACGTTATCCCAACTGTCATGTTACTCTCCACGTTATTCCCAACTGTCATGTTACTCTCCATGTTATTCCCTACTGTCATGTTACTCTCCATGTAATTCCCTTCTGTCATGTTACTCTCCACGTTATCCCAACTGTCATGTTACTCTCCACGTTATTCCCAACTGTCATGTTACTCTCCATGTTATTCCCAACTGTCATGTAACTCTCCATGTTATTCCCAACTGTCACGTTACTCTCCACGTTATCCCAACTGTCATGTTACTCTCCACGTTATTCCCAACTGTCATGTTACTCTCCATGTAATTCCCTTCTATCATGTTACTCTCCAGGTTATTCCCTACTGTCATGTTACTCTCCACGTTATTCCCTACTGTCATGTTACTCTCCATGTTATTCCCTACTGTCATGGTACTCTCCATGTCATTTCCCATCAGTCTGATTCCGCAGCCAAAAAGTCTAAATTAATTTTCTGTACAAATATATTTAGATAATTCTGTACCAAATTGTGCAAAGTTTTAAGCTTAGTTTTAGTAAATTTCCTAGTTTTGCACCTGTTTGACTTATGGCAGGCTAGAACAGCTTATTGAAGTGAATCAGGAGATCACTAGTGTAAACATGAAGATATGCTATTTCAGTAACCAGTAATACAAGAGTCAACTTCACTTCAAGAGGAAATAAATATTTGTTTACATGTAAAAAAAACTGATTTCAACTCACATGTTAAAATGGTACATTTCTGGACTGAGTGGGCAATATAGCGTGGATTGTTCTTGTCAGGTTATTCCTACTGACATTTTATTCCTATTGATGTGTTATTCCTACTGACATGTATGGTTCCCTAATTGATGTGTTATTCCTACAGACATGTATGGTTCCCTAACTGATGTGTTATTCCTACTGACATGTATGATTCCTACAGACATGTATGATTCCCTAATTGATGTGTTATTCCTATTGACATGTATGGTTCCCTAATTGATGTGTTATTCCTACAGACATGTATGGTTCCCTAACTGATGTGTTATTCCTATTGACATGTATGGTTCCCTAACTGATGTGTTATTCCTACTGACATGTATGATTCCTACAGACATGTATGGTTCCCTAATTGATGTGTTATTCCTACTGACATGTATGGTTCCCTAATTGATGTGTTATTCCTACTGACATGTATGGTTCCCTAACTGATGTGTTATTCCTACTGACATGTATGATTCCTACAGACATGTATGGTTCCCTAATTGATGTGTTATTCCTACTGACATGTATGATTCCTACAGACATGTATGGTTCCCTAATTGATGTGTTATTCCTACAGACATGTATGATTCCTACAGACATGTATGATTCCCTAATTGATGTGTTATTCCTACTGACATGTATGATTCCTACAGACATGTATGGTTCCCTAATTGATGTGTTATTCCTATTGACATGTATGGTTCCCTAACTGATGTGTTATTCCTACTGACATGTATGGTTCCCTAATTGATGTGTTATTCCTACTGACATGTATGATTCCTACAGACATGTATGGTTCCCTAATTGATGTGTTATTCCTACTGACATGTATGGTTCCCTAACTGATGTGTTATTCCTACAGACATGTATGGTTCCCTAACTGATGTGTTATTCCTACAGACATGTATGGTTCCCTAATTGATGTGTTATTCCTATTGACATGTATGGTTCCCTAACTGATGTGTTATTCCTATTGACATGTATGGTTCCCTAATTGATGTGTTATTCCTATTGACATGTATGGTTCCCTAACTGATGTGTTATTCCTATTGACATGTATGGTTCCCTAATTGATGTGTTATTCCTATTGACATGTATGGTTCCCTAACTGATGTGTTATTCCTATTGACATGTATGATTCCTACAGACATGTATGATTGCCTAATTGATGTGTTATTCCTACTGACATGTATGATTCCTACAGACATGTATGGTTGCCTAATTGATGTGTTATTCCTACAGACATGTATGGTTCCCTAATTGATGTGTTATTCCTACTGACATGTATGATTCCTACAGACATGTATGGTTCCCTAACTGATGTGTTATTCCTACTGACATGTATGATTGCCTAATTGATGTGTTATTCCTACAGACATGTATGGTTCCCTAATTGATGTGTTATTCCTACTGACATGTATGATTCCTACAGACATGTATGGTTCCCTAATTGATGTGTTATTCCTATTGACATGTATGGTTCCCTAACTGATGTGTTATTCCTACTGACATGTATGGTTCCCTAATTGATGTGTTATTCCTATTGACATGTATGGTTCCCTAACTGATGTGTTATTCCTATTGACATGTATGGTTCCCTAATTGATGTGTTATTCCTATTGACATGTATGGTTCCCTAACTGATGTGTTATTCCTACTGACATGTATGATTCCTACAGACATGTATGATTGCCTAATTGATGTGTTATTCCTACAGACATGTATGATTCCTACAGACATGTATGATTGCCTGATTGATGTGTTATTCCTACTGACATGTATGATTCCTACAGACATGTATGGTTCCCTAACTGATGTGTTATTCCTACTGACATGTATGATTGCCTAATTGATGTGTTATTCCTACTGACATGTATGATTGCCTAATTGATATGTATGGTTCCCTAATTGATGTGTTATTCCTACTGACATGTATGATTCCTACAGACATGTATGGTTCCCTAATGGAGTACAAAAAAATATAATTCATATTACCCCTCTCTTGTCAACCCCCCCCCCCCCCCCCCCCCCGTGTGAAATCACAAAGGGTCAACATGAGGAGTCCACCCCCTGTTGTACCAGCACACCAGAGGTGACAATGTCCAGGGGAGTCCGTGTGAAATCACAAAGGGTCAACATGAGGAGAGTGAGTGAGTGAGTTTGATTTTACGCTGCTGTTAGCAACATTCCAGCAACATCACAGCGAGGACACCAGAAGTGGCCTTCACACATTGTTCCCATGTCAAGAATCGAACTCAGGTCTTTGGCGTGACGAGCGAAGGCTTAAACCACGAGGCTACCTGACCGCCACTAACATGAGGAGAAGGCCATCCCCTGTTGTACCTGCTTCGAATGCGCAGGGTAACACACACGGAACACACACAACAACATTGCAATGTAGCACGGCTAGTGATTGAAGAGGGACACTATAACCTGGACAGTCACGTGCAGGGGAGCAATATAGCAACGATAGTGGTGCAACAGTACAATATAACCTGACCTACAGCAGCAAAGTGGCACAATGAAAACCTGAATACTGCAGTTCATAATCAAAATTACCAATCAAGAATTGATGTTCTGCCTAAGTGTTCAGGGCGCGCTGTACAAAACAACCTTAGCACTACGACTGTTGTAAGTCTATGTTAAGGTGCGGGAGTTACGATCACCTTAGCACTACGACTGTTGTAAGTCTATGTTAAGGTACGGGTGTTACGATCACCTTAGTGCTAAGATCGCTTTGTACAACGGCACAAAAGGGAATAAGGGACTTCCGAAATGATTCACTGAAAGATTTTACAAAAATCTTCATTTTTTTGTGGGGATTTATCTAGACCTGCTCAGGCTGCAGCTAATGCCATTAAAAATTCCCAAAATGGAATGAGGAATTTCCCAATTAAAGAGGTTTTGAAGTTTATATTAATGCACTGAATGCAATCTTAAAATACAATGTTAAAATACGTCTGAATTTAAGAAAATACGAACTTTTAACAAATCCCGTCTTGGAACAAAATAGTGATACTTTTCCAAAATTGTCTGCCAAAATTCCTACTGATCCAAATAAAAAAAATGTTCATAATAATACCACATATTTATTGACAAAATATAGAGTTTTCGTTCTTGCTTCGTAAAGGTCAATCCTCTTGATCGCACACAGTCCTCCGATATTGATCTTGTCCCTGACAGTTACCTATGACATTACACTAACAGATACTTACGTTTAATTGCTGGTATTGAATTGGTCATGTGACCATGATGGAGTATGTGAGAGCTACTTCCTGTGTGGCACAGACTGACTGTACATCTATTTGCTGCCCATCTCCTGACATATCTGCACGCTAATGTCAACATGGGCACTCATGGGTGCAAGTGGCATATAGTGGGAGACAGTTACGGAGCCGGACCCAATGGCAGAAGACAGGGACAGAGTAAGTAGTGGGGCAGGGAAATGATGGAGGCAAGAAGCAGGGGGGCAGGGAAATGGTGGAGGCAAGAAGCAGGGGGGCAGGGAAATGGTGGAGGCAAGAAGCAGGGGGGCAGGGAAATGATGGAGGCAAGAAGCAGGGGGGCAGGGAAATGGTGGAGGCAAGAAGCAGGGGGGCAGGGAAATGGTGGAGGCAAGAAGCAGGGGGGCAGGGAAATGGTGGATGCAAGAAGCAGGGGGGCAGGGAAATGTTTGAGGCTAGAAGCAGGGGGGCAGGGAAATGATGGAGGCAAGAGTGGAGGTCAGGCAATGGTGAGAGACACGGACTGCCTTAGATGGAGTGATTGAGTGAGTATGGTTTTACGCCGCTTTTAGCAATATTCCAGCAATATCACGGCGGGGGACACCAGAAATGGGCTTCACACAATGTACCCATGTCGGGAATCGAACCCGGGTCTTCGGCATGACGAGCGAACGTTTAACCACTAGGCTAACCGCCCTCCTTAGATGGAAGAAGTGGAGGTCAGGCAATGGTGAGAGACACGGACTGCCTTGGATGGAAGAAGTGGAGGTCAGGCAATGGTGAGAGACACGGACTGCCTTGGATGGAAGAAGTGGAGGTCAGGCAATGGTGAGAGACACGGACTGCCTTGGATGGAAGAAGTGGAGGTCAGGCAATGGTGAGAGACACGGACTGCTTTGGATGGAAGAAGTGGAGGTCAGGCAATGGTGAGAGACACGGACTGCCTTGGATGGAAGAAGTGGAGGTCAGGCAATGGTGAGAGACACGGACTGCCTTGGATGGAAGAAGTGGAGGTCAGGCAATGGTGAGAGACACGGACTGCCTTGGATGGAAGAAGTGGGGGTCAGGCAATGGTAAGAGACACGGACTGCCTTGGATGGAAGAAGTGGAGGTCAGGCAATGGTGAGAGACACGGACTGCCTTGGATGGAAGAAGTGGAGGTCAGGCAATGGTGAGAGACACGGACTGCCTTGGATGGAAGAAGTGGAGTTCTCAGGAATAATGCGAGAGATATGGACAGAAGTAGGGTGCTTTAAAACACTAGGCCATGAAAAGTACGGTCAGACTAGCAACAAGGGTACTCACCTTCACAGGACAGGCCGTGTGACGTGACCCCGGAGAGAGCCTCCCGACACACGTTGCAGTACGTAGGGCGTGCGTGGGAACAGGCGTACCAGTTGTGTTGCCCTGACATCATCTCTGTGTGACTAGTAGTACCCTGCTGTGGGAGGAAGAACACACACATCATCAAGGGACAACACAGGCATTATGTCAGGGTGGGAGGTTTCAGAGTGGGATTGCGAGGGTGGGAGGTTTCAGGTAGGGAATGTGAGGGTGGGAGGTTTAAGGGTAGGAATATGAGGGTGGGAGGTTTCAGGGTGGGAATGTCAGGGTGGGAGGTTTCAAGGTGGGAATGTCAAGATGGGAGGTTTCAGGGTGGGAATGTCAGGGTGGGAGGTTTCAGGGTGGGAATGTCAGGGTGGGAGGTTTCGGGGTGAGAATGTCAGGGTGGGAGGTTACAGGGTGGGAATATCAGGGAGGGAATGTGAGGGTGGGAGGTTTCAGGGTGGGAAAATCAGGTAGGGAATGTGAGGGTAGGAGGTTTCAGGGTGGGAATACATACATGCAACGAGTCTAGAAATCATGGTTCCACATATGGTCACATATCAAAAACAAAAGTGTTCAAACTGATGGCAATATAGATGCTATACCCAGGGCATACACTGTTAACTCTTAGTTGACAAACAACCAATCGTCATCTTTTCTACTGCTACCATCACTGTCACTAGGCATAAGATAAAGTTCCCCAGAATAATGCTTCAATATCATAAATATATATCAGGGAATAAACTCAGGCATTACCCTACTTGAACAACATTAAATGTTCACCTACACTTACCAACCATGGCGCCATACAACATATATTTCACATCCTTCAATATGTAAACCTAGAATAAACAACTTTAATACAATATTTCCTACTTGGACAACATCTAACAATAACCTACTCTTATCAACTCTGGCATTAGATATTCCATATAAAAACACTTCAGTATTGTCAGATAAATCCTAGAAAATACAACTTTAATACAACCCTACCTCAACACCAGCAAACCACCACCTACCCTTTTCCCAACACTGGAGCTATTCCACAGCATGTATATATTGTGTGGGTTGCGTTAGTGCAATCACACTCGGATAATAGGCAAACTTATCACCACTGCAGCCAGTGCAGCCACCCCACCCAGGGCGTGGTCACGATCCCCCACATGCCTTATTGGAAATGATGGAATAGAGCTCCATGGAGGGAGGTTACAGCGTACCAGTCTATTCTTAACCATACTGTACATTTCACACAGTGCTGACAGAAACAATTTCATGATGGATGACCGATGCAAATATCAACAATGGAATCAATATTGTTGTAGAAATGGCAAATGCATGCGGTTTTATTAAACTACAAAATGCACATTGATGCTGAATTGAAACTATTGGGTTGCACGTCTAATGTAAACCGTGTTCCGTTAGGAAATAGATTCACATTAATTACGACATACAGTTCAAACTCAAGCACATTAGAAGCAAACTGAAATTATTAATGTACCAGAGCTCCAGATAAGCTTTTGGTGTTGTGGGTATTTTACCCATGCATTTTAAAATCATTGGGTATCAGTAATTCAAATTTCTGTGTATTCAAATTTCTGTTACCCACTAGTTTTTACACATGTGGGTATTTAAGTGAAAAATTTAAAAACACTATTCATCAAGTCCTTGCAAACTGGTGTCGTGTGGTTTCGAGAGCTTTATAGGACTAAAAAATACCATGATACTTCCACAAGAAAGTGTGATGGCAAATGATCATGATGTAACTGTCATCGTGGAGTTTGGCAAGGTTGACGGAATGCCTGTTTATAATTTCAAAATAAGTTGCTGATTTGCTAATCGAATACGCAGGGTTACTTCACAATATTTTGATGATATGCACAAGTTTTATTTTTATAGCGTATCTGTAATGTTCGTTGCGTATTTGATACGCTTGGATTTTATTTTACTGCGTATTTCTGCATGTCTGATGCGTATTTTACACAGATGCGCAGCTTATCTGGAGCTCTGATGTACACAGCTTCAGGGCTCTGATCACGTTCAAGCAAGACGTCCTATATTGCAAGTTAACTGTGAGATTTATGGCAATGTCTCAATACAGGTGTGACACAACATATTGCTTTGAGAAATGTATCTCCTCAGTGTAGTCTACACTCTCATCTATTTCACCTCTATCGAGGAGCTAACCTTATGTGGCATATGTTAAAACATGTAAATAACATTTCACAATCTTGAAGAAAGTTCAAATGTTTCAAAACACATGTAAAAACACAAAAAACAACACGAAACTATAAGCTTATATTGTTCATCTAAATACCAATACATCAAACTAACCAAAAACTCAACTGTAACTTTTCATAAATCACATCAGATTTTGAGAATCCCTTAATTCAATCCCCTTATGAGAATAAAAAGAAATTTAGCCATCTGTTTTGCAATGGATTTGCGATTATGAAATAGGTGAACACACCGGAGCACTTACACTTCCCTCTTCTTCATACACGGTGTTGGTGGAGAACTCGGGCTCCACATGGAGTTCCGACTCCTCACTACAGTAGGGGTCATCCAGCCTTGAACAGGCACAAACAAAACAGCCTCGCAGGGACTGCAGCATTTTCAAATGATCAATGCTTTTATCACGGTTTCAGTCCAAGGTGCGGAAAAAGCTAACTGTCCATAGCATTTAACAGGTTTCTCCTCCAGTTAGGAAGCTGTGATTAAATATTAAAATGTCAAGTCAAATTTGAAAGAATTTTGTCCCATTCCGTTTCCTAAAATTGTTTGGATGGAATTTTTTATTCTTAGTTCTACATTTAAATGCTTTGCTTGCAAATAATAGTTGCCATTTTATACCATACTAGGGATTGAGTAAGTAAGGTTTTACGCCGCTTTTAGCAATATTCCAGCAATATTACGGCGGGGGACACCAGTAATGGGCTTTACACATTGTACCCATGTCGGGAATTGAACCCAGGTCTTTGGCGTGACGAGCGAACGCTTTAACCACTAGGCTACCTGACCACCCCTTATATGATACTAACATGACGAAAGGATGAACGGATGAAAGGATGAAAGGATGAAAAGATAAAAGGATGAAAGGATGAAAGGATGAAATGTAGAAGACATGAAGAGAGTCAATGATGAAGTATTTAGTTATTCTTTATGGTCGCTTGAGGATCTATTTCAAGTTCAGTTGACAAAAGCTATTATTGTTGGTTTTAACAGATACAGCTGATGATAATGCATTAAACAAATAAATGTATGTCTGAAAGATAATGAAACAGATGATATTTTCACACTACTAGGTGAGCTGCCCATCAACATATACTAGCCACAAAAAGAAACTGTCTGATAAAATCATAAGCACCGTTTCCCTTATGGTGCACTACACAAATGTCAGGACTTGATAAACAAAATTATTTCGGAACTAAATAAATCCTGCAGGATTACAGAGTGAGTCTCTTGTATATTCATCCTTACCATACAACAATATTATGTTCAACTTTTCTTCCAGATACCAAAATTCAGGCAGTTGTCATGATAAACATTTTCTCCACTGAGCAGACGGGATTGGTTCAGCACCTCTTTCAAAAGTATGTCAGCTTGATGTACGGGGACTTCACAGCGGCACAACTTGCAAATGTCTATCACTTTGTGAAACTAGGAAGCCAAGGTCATAGAGGTAAATATGGGATTCAAACCTGAGCAGTGGATCCTGGCAAGGTTAAGGGGATGCAACTCTGCAAGTTGCAGTAACTTGGACTGCAGGACCGATGGTTCTCCATTCACTGCCGACAATGAATGGAAAATCTTAAATGTTTTTTGTTTTGAGACTCTAACACCACAAAATGATTCATACTCACAGTAAAAAGTGGAGATATAAGGTTATTTCACTGAACTAGTTGCCGGATCAGTGCAACACGCTTGCCCAGCTTATTAAACCTATTGATCTACAGCTGTAAATGCACTCAACCCACTCTATCAACATGCATTCCTATCTGGCACACAAATATGTCGTGATCACCTTCCAATGTGATTACATGCTTATTGAGCGTTTTACTTGTACATCAAGGAATTCTGCTATGCAGCCAGATTTGAACCAGGCAAACCCAGGCCCAGTCGCATTGACCCACACGAGGGGACCAGCACACAAACCTCTTCACTGTCTGCCACCATCTCCTACCTAAACCACCTCCTATACAAGAGTGAAACATTAGTGCTTAACACAGCTTAGAGCAGTATTACCTTGACATCATGGCATGTCAGCTTAATGGAAGGACAATCCACAGACGCAGGTCTAACACATATACAGGGGTGAAAGGCACTAGCACTGCCCAATAGTTAAAGTATCATAAGGACTAGTAGACATTTGCCATTTTTAAGGATTTTCTACATGTTATCATTACAAGGACTAGTGAACTAAAAATGTTAATTTCTACCACTGCCACCCAATTCTTTCATATACTACTCAAAAGAAGTTAAGGACACTCAATTCTTTCATATTACTATATAATATGAATGAATCGGTCCTTTACTTCTTTTGTGTAGTATATAACGATGCACCAACATTACTCCTGCGCTCTGCACTTACAGTATTGCCTGATTGGAACACTATTCACATACTGTCAATGAGATCATTATGGAAACACCATTATCAGTACCAGTTACAGCCAGTTTCAATTAGAATTGACTAAAACACTGTAAACTTGAACATGTTATGTCTCCCGAGGCCTAAGGCTACATCAAACTCACATTTAAAACATTACACATCCAAAACAATTTAGCATTTACATACTCATTACAAATGACTTCCCTAAAACACATTCAACATATGTAAAAATCAACACCTATCTCTAAACGAGCATCCTCTACAACACAACTCCCAGTGTGTTCTACTGACCCGAAATCACCATGACAGTTACTAGTTGTGTCTGTCAGGGCACAAAAAGGACAGAAAACTTCAACGCATTTATTACCCTAACAAATCAAACATTCTCGGTTAAGATTTTAACTCGTGAGCCAGAAGTCACAAAGGACTAAATTGCAACACAATCTCAGTCGCAATCCCTGCAATGAAGAACAGGTTATGTGCGGCCAGGGTAAGACAGCCTCTACTCA